CTTCCAGGTTTTCCATGGTTGTTAAGCTTCAATTGACTCATGATCTCAACAAGTGACATAGAGAATATGTATGGAGACTATAATTTATGGACGAACCAATCAGATATAAGATAATTAGTCTTGATTTGTGGCGCGAAATTCACTTGTTCATTTGGCTAAATAGATTCTTGGCATTATAGCTTATGTCCGTTCATAATATGGATGATTTCCTCTACTAAATACATCACGAGTTTAGAACTACTGAACCTTTTTCTAAGACGGACAAGTTTTTGAACCACGTATAAGAAGTGTATCCACTTTTCCTCTAATCTTGTATTATACATTTTTGCTCTGTACTTACCGTTCGCTGATTGGCTAACATCACTCAAGGTCATTTCGGATTCGTTCAAAGGTTGTCCGAAGATTATAGTCTCATCGAGGACTTAAAACGCTCGCGTTTCGTCGAAGGGATGATCGTCGGCCCACTAAGAGAACAGTTTTTCCGAAGCCTACCAGTCTGAAGGGGCGTAGGTTCGAGTCCCACTTTTTGGACTTGTGGGCTTTGGAAAAACTTCTCTTAGTGGGCCGGGGATCATCTCTTGGACGAAACGCTAGCGTACTAAGTCATCTCGTCCCATGACATCTAGACGAGGAAATACCTGAACCGCTATTTGCTGCAAGGATTTAAGGTAGTCGATTGGATTATCACCTTCTGGTGACGCGATAAGAACTGGATAGTCACCTTCTGGGTGTTCCCGGGTAGGAAAAAACAGTCACCTAGGGTTTTCCAATTTTGCTCTAGTGCATTGCTTGCCACAAAGCCGTTGGCTGTAGCTATTTTTACTGCCTCATCACTAGAACAAAAGGCGACGCCCAGAGAGATGATGAAGGGACTATAATCCTTTTGTCTAACATATCCTTCATCATTGCCCAAGCAACCAACAGAGGGGAGATAAAGGAGGAAAACACGTCAGAATATCGCCTTTTTCGCCTGTCCGGGGGGAATAATACGGATTTCCCTTGGTCGCCCTGCAATAGAAAGAAGACAGAATCCATTAACAACGTCATAGATTGTGCTTCAACCCAATTACAATGCGACCTCACGCTTTTCAAGAAGTGAATAACCGTTGTTTTTAGAGGCTTCCCGAGCTCCCAATTTAGGGGAAAACCTGACCCATGTTTAGGAGATTTTGGGGGAGCCGCTTTAGTGAACTTTGGGGAAAAATGGCACAAAAGCCCTGAAATTTCCCCAGACCTGAGAAAATTTCCCCAGAATTCCGCAAATTTCCCCAAACTTGGGAGCTTGGGTTTCACGGGTTGTGGAAAGGGGAGCACAGTCTGGTTACTTCGTGTCTGTCTTATTTGTTTGTCCTTTTTGTTTGTTTGGGTTATGTATACTGATATAAATAGCAGTTGGATATCCATCACATGTGATGGGTGACGATGATGCATCTTCGCCAGTGGTTTATCAAGATATGGTAAAAGAAAATTTCATTCACCATTTAAAGCGTTGTTTGCCAGAAATGTGTCCTGATATTATATTCAATCTAAAATCGCATGCACTTACTACGTATGTTTAATCTCATAATGTAATATGTATATGTGAAAAAGTAGGTGGATGTACATGAAATGATCTGTCCGAAAATTATAATCACAATGAAAAAGTTTCAAAAAACAGTAAGGCTCCATTGGTACATCAATGTTGCTATTCAGAATCCTTATACTGAAATTCAATATTAATCCACCTTTGTTATAATGTCACTCCAATAATTTAATTTGTAACAATCTACAACAAAGCGAATCTTACAATAGTGTTAATCAACACTAAACAATGCTCCCACTGGATAGTAAAAAGTTATTTCAAATTATTACCTAAATTATCCCTTCACCCTCAATGACATCTCTGTAGTTTGTCTCGTCATGAAAATCGCCTTGCGCTGTGATCTCGTATAAATCCGCAGTCTTTGTCAGTGGAAAATAAAAAGCTTAGTGTTATCGCGCCTAAAGGTTAGGAATAAGAAATCCCGTTTTACTCCGTATGGTGCCATAAAACCGGACTTCTGGAAATCTCAGCTCTTTCCAAGTAGTTTAAGGATCCTGGCTACCTAGGTTCCATGACATAGGACAAAATATAGCGCATAAAGATTTTGGATTATCATCTAGTGATCGCGTCTCCATGGCCATCTGAAATTTAAATTGGTAATGAAAAAAATTGAGTGAACTTTCAGGTTTGTTATTCATGTTGAAGACATCTACCCATGGTTTTCAGTTCCTCTTCAGTTGATAAAGGGAAATGAGAATTTGGTGATCCAGTACCAAGTTTTTGTTGATTATCACTAACACTGTACTTAGACGGTTATATAAAACTGCCTAACGTCATCACTCAATTTGATATTGTTGATGACATGTACTACAGAACAAAATGTAGTTTTGCAAATCTAAAAAAACAGACTTTAATTGCAACTGTTACTTACTCACCCGCGATTCTAGTGCCAACGTATGTTGACATGGAAGTTGAACGCAGGACTGCAACTTGTGTGGGACTTTTACATGTTTATATATTTAACGTACCGACTGCAATTGGAGATACTGGTGTGCCCAGCTTTCTGAATCCCGAATACTGAGCAAGACTGTTTTCAGCCTGCACTTCAACACTCATGTCAACGGAGTTATACAGGTACTCTGGTTTCCGTTTTACTGCGTCTGTGAAATATTGACGTGAATAACGTACTTACATTGTGGACTTCTTTGTACTCAGTGGTAATTTTCATCAGACAAACTTTTGGCATGTCAACCGGCTAATTATCTGAACAAAGCTAATAACTCCTTAGGAGTTTGCACATTATTTTGGGAAATGAGTGTGTGTAGATCACCTCTGTAATAACCCACATGTAATAACCAGCCTATTGTCATCTGGTTGAGCAATTTTTCGGGTACATTTTCGGAAAACTGGCAGGATACTGCATAGTTCGCCAACAAGTTACTTGCTTGCTACAATAGTTAGTTGGTTCTTGCTTGATGAGTTGTTGACTACGAACTCTTTAGTTTTTGGCTAAATGATATTTTAAATTCAGAAATTAGTTCAAATTAATAGCTTGTGAGTAAGTGAAACACAAAAATGTATTCAGTAGCGGGACTATTACAAGATTATGTACTTATTTAGTGGATATGCGCTTACAAGATACATCTGTAAGTGCAACGTGCCCATGACTAACAAGAACATCGATGTACCTATGTCATTATCATGATTCATAAAAACATTTCGTTTTGTAAACTTGCTAATTAGTTATTGTTTTATATTCAATGCTCAAAAATTCCGGTAAATTATAGTGCTCTTGCAGCCACTTTTCCAAAGGTTTTCACGTCTGTTACTACTTGATCTCTGTTAGTTTCTCTATAGTCTTATCATCTTCTGAAGATTGCTTACAATATCAACTTAAATCTTGAGACTTTATTTTCGATTTTGAGATGGTCAAATGATCGAACTTCACTCAAGATCACTGACTATTTAAAAATATCATTATTTGTCCTAGTAAAGATCATTCACCGATTTTTGAAATTGTTTCATTTGTGTTACCTTTAATCTTCAACCACTTCGGAAGCGATGACTTTATAATTTGACGAGAAATCAAGCGACAAAGATGAAATACTGTCCATTGCATTTTATAAGCATATTTTATGTATTGAGATCTGGATTATTTTATGAAATATCGCTCACAATTTGAAACGCAAATGAATCCTAAGGGTGAAAATATTGCTTAGTAATGTTTGAGAGCTCAGTGTTCGTTCGAATCAAGGATTAGTATGTATTCAGTGCTTATTAATTCTGTAGTGGAACTGGGAATGCTTCGCCATATAACGTTCACTGCATGTTAATAACGATCTGGACCTAGTGGGTTTCTGGCTTTATAGTAAGATCAGTGGACTCAGTGAGTTACATGTCTGAAACTTTATGAACCGTCTCCCTCAATCTTCTTACAATTATCCCATCTAATCAGCGTTTGACCGTAGTAGATCGCTATTAAAATGTCACAAACATTTTAGTCGATGAGTTTTTGTAGCTTCATTAACTGATTTACCACGTTTTCCTAGTACCCTAGATTTAATTACACCACTACTCCCTTTTGCGTTCTATTATACATGGGGGGGGTGCTTTAAAGACCTCTACGGACTAATACTATTAAGTTACGTATATTCTCTACCTTCAAAGTTTATGTTTATCAGTCACTGCAAAACTCCGTCTTTTGGTTGATAGATGAACATGTTTTCGCTACATGAGGGACCCAATTTCAAAGGTGAATCAAATTCTTATGATAGGAGTGTTTAATGCTATTTTGCACCAAGAAATTAGTTAAATAATCTTCATTTTCACAGACAAGTTCAAACGCGATGACAATGAAAGATTGAAATTTAATATTGTGCTACAGTCTATGAGTTCACTTAAGATTTTCGTAACTGAAATACACTGAGAAGCAAATTTTCGTCCTGTCTACTTCAAATACTCGTTACAATAAACCTGTTTTCTATCGAATTGAGAAAGGAACAGTGAAGTCAAGTGGCTTTTGTATTTAATACTGGTCTTTTCATGATAATGCATTCTCGACAGAAATGAAATCCCAGTGTTTATTTTTTAACAGGACTTGAAGTAAGAGTTGAGTATCAGGTTCATTTATTTTTGTGATTTTCGACCATTTTTTACTGAGAGTGTGGTAGTCAATATTTTATTCGAAGGTTAAAACTGTTAAGAAGTCAAAGATAATGATGAAAGACTTCTGTGTTGCTTGTTTTCCCTCACTTTTTTGAATAAGAGTTCTTGATAAAATTTCAAATGATATATCATTGTTCCCAAGGTTTATTACTCTGTCACCCTTATTTTTTCCACAGGTGGTTAGTTCTCACTCAAACAACTTTCTCTGGTAATATCCTTCAAATTAATGTCGCTTGGCCAAAATTTTTCTGACGTAATCCTTGTTTCTATATGAAAGTTACTGGATTTAAACACTGAAACCCGGACTAGAAACATGCCACAAATTGCAATCGATGGTGTAGAGATTGATTTTCCTTATCAACCATATGATTGCCAAATTGAATATATGACAAAGGTTCTGTTATCATTAAATGAGGTAGTATTTCCATTGATTTTATGTTTTTTATCGGATTGAGTAAATTTGGTAGTTTTTGTTTTCTGTGCAAATCATAGTCAATTAAACCGACTCATTTATTTTATCGAAATATTCATGTTCTTATTTTGTATGTTTGTCTAAGTACGGTAATTCTTGAAAATCTATTGTTTTAGGGTAAACATGCCATTTTGGAGTCACCTACTGGTACCGGTAAAACGTTATGCCTGTTATGCGCTTCATTGGCATGGCTTAATAAACAAGCGAATTCAGTACAATCAATAACAAATGCTAAACATCAAAATACAATGGGTAAACGGCCTACCAGTGATAATGTTGATAATACGTTATCTCATCAGAATTTTCTTGCAAGTTTGGGTAAAGTGAATAATGGATGTAAGATTATTTTTGCATCAAGAACCCATTCACAACTAGCACAGGCTATTAATGCATTAAAACGGACGGTTTATTCAAGGTAAGTTAAGAATGTATTAACAGTTTTTTTTCAAAGGATTTGCTTTGTACGTAAAAGTGTTATAACTAATATTTTTATCAGTTCAGTTATTCTTTAAGCGTGATAGATATCAATGGAGTAACAATGTAATGTGCCTTCATTTGTTGATGATGATAAAAGCATGTTCTTTTGCTGGTCAAAGTTTATCGATCACCACTTGAAATATTGTCACTATGGTAGTAACCTTGGTAGTTTTTTTTCCGATGCTGTATAATCGGAAATTTTTATAGACTGGAATTACTACCACGCATCGCAATTAGAACGTGATAAATAATACATTATGTCCCAGCCTTATATCATGAAAAGTTATTCAGTCTTCCAAGTGGATTCTTTTTGTTAATCAGTTTCACTGATTGTTATTCTTAATCAGTGTGAAAATATGCGATGAACGACTTGATGTTTAGGGTTTATTAAAAGTTATTTTGGTTCGATTAGTGAGTTAATGATGAACTTGGCTTTCACATAGTTATTATCAAACTTACTAAAAGTGAATGATGATATGTTAAATCAAATCAAAGTTATTTTGAATGTTTTATTCCAGATTTATGTCACCTGTAATAAATGACTGTTCATGACAACCATTATATGCTCAAAAATGAACAAAAAATGTAGTCATTTCATCTTTAGCTCCTGTATAATCTTGTCAAGTAACGATGATTCGACTACTAAAAGTAGGATGCTTTTCTATAACTTCTTATTTTCCCTTTACATGTGTTTATCACCAACCAACTCAGAACATAAATCATACACGTTACTTATGGATATATATTTTTATACTTTTGTAACCATTTTCAGGAGACTGAACTTCTTTTTACTTTAAAGTCCCATCTTTTATAGCGGTTTAATATTAACAACATATTTCCATCAGATAATTTCGGGAAAAGTAGTTTGTCATGTCATTCTATAGATATATTCGTCCGCGGTTGATTTATATCCACTTTGTAACTGAATAAATGCTTTTTCTGTCAGTTTATTTACCTACTAATTGGAGTTTTTGATTAACTTCATTCCACTACATTAAAGACATAGCGTCAGTGTCGTCGGGTCAAGAGACCAATTGTGTCTTCTTTCCGATGTAGCGTCGTTAGAGTCGAATTCTGCCAAAATTTATGCGTGCCGTATGAGAGTCCAAACGAGAACGTGTGAATATTTCAGGAATTTTGACTGTAAGTATGCCAATATGTAAAATTTATTTTTATTTGATCAACTCATATTGTCACTGTTATGGCTTTAAGTTGCTGTCGATTTCTACCCTGTGTTATCGATCGGTTACAGTGACACGTACGGACGGCCTAGAGTCTCGATTGGTCCCACTTCCCTGTCTAGCCCAGTTAGTTGAGTCCAGAACACAAGTCAGCCTCGGAGATATGAATCATTATATTTCAAACATACTTAGTTTATATACCAATCAAGCATACCACATCGTACAATATTCAACAAGTGAGCAGGTATCGACCAATAGGAAATGTCCATTTAAAGTCCAAGGACACCATTGGACTTAACATGATAATTATTGGTCTATTCCCCCGCATCCACAACAGTCACATTTCGTATCAATGTATTAAACCTACTGTAGTATTTTCCTAGTTCAAATATTTTCAGTATTATCATGGTATTTACAGATTGTAAACTCAAAGATGCTGAATACTTGGAGAGTTTACTTCCAGTTCTACATTTTATGGTACTTCGTCTTTTTGATCATGACTTCTCATGGTGTCGTTTACATTTGTTAGCTATACTAAGTAACTACGTTCATCGGTAGAAGTGAAGTCAATAACACGTTACTGTACTTTCAAAGCAGAAAATAAGTTGTGAATGAAATTATACCATTGAGTACCAACTTAACATTAAACGTGGTAGACGTAAATTCATTCACTTTTCATTTTACTACAAAAATTATATATATAGCACCATTTTACTTCCTTTTTGTCGCCTTACTTCTTTCAGTATCTTGATTCCCTTTTCTGACGGTCGTTTTGTTGATGACTTTTTTGTTACATTTTTGCGAAATTGTTTTAAAAGAAAACGTAAATGTCTAATGTAAACTAGATGTGTGGTACGATATAATGACGAGATAATAATATAATATGTATTAATATATGTAAAAGAGTAATCTGTTAGCGGTTAAGTCGTTCGACTTTCAGCCATTAAATCCTAGATTCGAAACCCGTTCTACCTACTTCAGTTTGAGGAACCAGCCCTCACACCTATAGTGCAGCTCACAGCCGCATCTAATAAGTTAGTTAATTCAAGAAGTTATTAACTACATATAGTCGGCTAGGAACACTATACAATAATACTCGATAATTAGATCACTAGATTAAACTGCATGATTTACAGATAGGTAATTTTAACCAGCACCTGAGAACTATACAGTCTGAACTAAAGTAACCGTTTGTTAACACTTTTTGAAATCCAGAATATAGTACAGTAAAATTATTTGTAAGAAGAAATCCGTATTATTATATAATGTCATACATCTAGCATATCTGTATCTCTGTCTTTGCTCAATGACTAATCACTTGATATATCAATAATATTGTATAAACCCTATATTAGATTTCACATCTTTCCTGTTTATTTATTTAATTAGTTATTGAATATATACTACTTTTATAATAATATAGCATATATATATATATATATATATATATATATATATGTGATAAATAATTATGAACCATTTATTGTTTCATTTCTTATTATTCAGCTAAACGTGATGATATTTTAACCAATTTAAAATCTGAAGGTATTGTCGATATTGAAGATTTATCTAATTATGGTCAAAAAATAAAGTAAGAATTTCTCTCTATTTGATTCCATAAATTCCCTTCTCATTATGTAATCATAATTATTACCTCAATTGTTGTTTAAAAAAACAAAAAATTAAATATGACTATAGCGATCGGTTGAGAAATGTGAGAATTCTCTAACGGGCGAATCAATCACTCTTTATGTTATTAAGATTGTAAACTCTTGCTCTTTTTTTTTCTCCTAAAAGATAGGTGTAAATAATGTTGGTTAGTATAATAAATATAACTCTTTAACTAAACTGTCCAATTCTGTAAACAGTGTTGAGAACCATTTGAATCAAAGAGGTGAAAACAACCATGAAGTACAAGTATTATGTGTAGTTGAGTTAATACTATCCAATTATACACACCCATTACATTTGAATTTCACACTAAATTCAAACAGCAGCAATCTATGTTCCCAATCTCCATAGACCTTAGCTTTAAAAAAATAGGAGTTTAATCACTATAGGACAAACTGTGAATATCATGAACGTATAATCACATTTATTTAGTATCAACTATGGACATTAGACTGACACTTAGTCGGTTTATCACAAAATTATAAACATTTGATTAATTGTAAGTTAGTTTAAACATTGAAATCACGAATCGATCAATGTTAGACCACCATTGATAACGTGAAAGCACTGGACGGCCGTATCGTCCTATGTTAGCGGTATATAAATTGAATTGAAGCATATTCCATGAAGTATTGTGTTGAGGCACGTTCATTGGCTATTTCTTATCCAACCAACGCTAGAAGAGACTTGGACAATATTTTAGAATCTTCTTATTTTAAATATACTAACGTTTTTCTTATTGTGATCCCTACTTTCATCTAACGTTTTTATTTGGAATATAATTAAGCTCCTATTCAGTCATGTTCTAATTTGGGGACTTGTCGAGTGAAGCAGTGTCTAAGAATACTGCGCAATACGAGTATTTCGACAGAAATAAAAGAAATTATAACATCCTAGTATGGGGCTCAGCAGTGCGCATCCACGATCCTGTACGCGGGACCCAAACCCGGGATCTTCAGTCCCGCGCGGATGCTCAACCTCTAGACCACTGACCTGGCATTCAGTGGTGTTATTGTGTAGCTTCAACCAATCTACGACATTGAGCAACCATCTTCTACTGTCTTCGGCGGGTAACTGCCTCACACTTTACACGGTTAAACTCCACTGGTCATGGTTTCTCACTAGGACTCCGAGACTTTCCTCTAGAAGCTAGTCACTGGTAATCACATGAATTAATTATATCTTTGCCACAAGTTGTTGATGATTTGGTCTTTAAGTAACCCATTCTTAACAGCTTACAGAATGGTGTAATTGGTGTTAGAAAAACTCTTAAAAAACACTATCCCTTATTTGTATTAGAAAATAACATCAATTATTGAGAAGTCATCTAATGATAGCAATTTACAAATGCCTTGTGGTCGGATGTTAACAGTTAAAACCAACTCCCAATAATAATTTTCTAAGATTATTATCATGAACAGTCATAGAATGAAAGAATAACATTATTACTGTCAGTGGCATCTAGCGGTTTTAAATCTGACCATTCTGTTTCCATTTTTTACTTCAGTTCCTTTACCACTGATAGGATTAATGGGCAGGATTTAGGCAATTTACTGAAGAGTGGGTGATCTACAAAACTGATTTTCCTCTGTAGCTTGTGACATTTCATCATGTTTGCTTTTCTGTTAATAACTTGTGTATAGACTGAGATAGCCTTCTATCAGTGTGCATTTGTTTACGAAGTTAGTCAGTTAGTTGTAATGTATTACTTTAAAAAATCTATTTTGTTTCAAGTTGCCACACGATGTCGTCGTCATGAGATCATAGTAACAAGATTAATAACAAAGTAGCCGAAACACTAACAGTACCCAAATAGTAAGACAACATATAGAAAATGTAGTTGGAAAAAATGAGAGAGGATAAAATGTACTAAATAATTTTGTTAATCAAGATTTGGAGAAAGATTATAAACGAGAGTGTCTCAGCAACACTCTAGTCAATTTTCGGCTGTCACACAATGTCTACAACAATTGATCACCAGTATCTTATGTACTCACTCCTTGGTCAAAGACTAGTGTCTCTTACTTTTACGAAGCTTTGTATATGAATTGATATAAAATTGATAATTTATTTATTCCACTAGTTTTTATGAAACAAACGACTATCTAAAATCTCTCTGAGAGATTTTGGATTGAATTGAATCCTTCATATATTGACGTCAGTACTGTTAAGAGTAAAACAGTCATCAATAATGGTATTTAATGGTTGTTGCACAGTGCCACAAATTAAATGAAATCGTGGATGTAGACTGTTGTATTCCATCTAAATGATTTAATAGTTAAAGGCTCACTTCAAGACATGTAAGTCATAGGTCTGATCCCTGGTGCGATTTCGGGTGCTAAGGGATTCTGTAATATAACCTGGTTTTCAATTGTATCCAACTGATTTCATTCTGTGAAAAATGTCGCCCCAGTCATAATCTACGTAGTGGATGGCACAGCTGTGTGTTGGCCCACGTCACAGTACCAAATTAGCACAATGAAACTAACAAGTTAAATATTATAGGAGTCGAAATAATTTTGTAGCAAATATAATGAGGAGGACTTAGCATTAGGTATACGGTTTGTAAATACAGTACTTACTTACTTACTTACGCCTGTTACTCCCAATGGAGCATAGGCCGCTGACCAGCATTTTCCAACCCACTCTGTCCTGGGCCTTCTTTTCTAGTTCCATCCAATTCTTGTTCATTTTTCTCATGTCTATCTCCATTTCTCAGCGTAATGTGTTCTTTGGTCTTCCTCTTTTCCTTTGACATTCAGGATTCCATGTGAGGGCTTGTCTTGTGACGCAGTTGGGTGCTTTCCTCAATGTGTGTCCTATCCACTTCCAGCGCTTCTTCCTGATTTCTTCCTCCACTGGGGTCTGGTTTGTTCTCTCCCACAGTACGTTGTTCCTGATAGTGTCTGACCAACGGATCTGAAGTATTTTGCGTAGACAATTGTTAATAAACACCTGTATTTTCTGGATGATGGCTTTTGTAGTTCTCCAGGTTTCTGCCCCATACAGTAGAACTGTCTTGACATTTGTATTGAAAATCCTGACCTTGATGTTGGTTGACAGTTGCTTTGAGTTCCAGATGTTCCTCAGTTGTAAATATGCTGCTCTTGCTTTGCCGATCCGCGCCTTCACATCTGCATCAGATCCACCCTGTTCATCAATGATGCTGCCCAAATACGTAAAGGTTTTTACATCTTCCAAATCTTCTCCGTCAATTGTGATTGGATTAGTGCATTCTGTGTTGTATCGGAGAATCCTGCTTTTCCCTTTGTGTATATTGAGACCTACTGCTGCTGAGGCTGCTGCCTCACTGTTCGTCTTCTCCTCTATCTGTTGTTGCGTTTGGGATAGAAGGGCCAGATCATCTGTGAAGTCTAGATCATCCAACTGCATCTTAGATGTCCATTGTATCCCGCGCTTCCCTTCAGACTTTGACGTCTTCATGATCCAGTCGATCACCAGGAGAAAGGGAAGGGATGAGAGTAAGCAACCTTGCCTAACACCGGTTTTCACTTCGAACAACTTTGTCAACTGTCCTCCATGCAAAATTTTGCAGTGTAATCCATCATATGAGTTCTGTATGATATTGACTATCTTCTGGGGCACGCCGTAGTGTCGAAGAAGTTTCCATAGTGTTGTTCTGTCCACGCTATCAAATGCCTTTTCGTAGTCAATGAAGTTGATGTAGAGTGATGAATTCCATTCAATTGATTGTTCCACAATGATCCGTAGAGTTGCGATTTGGTCTGTATACGATCTATCCTTACGGAATCCTGCCTGTTGGTCACGAAGTCGGGCGTCTACGCAGTTCTTCATCCTGTTTAACAATACCCTGTTGAAGACTTTTCCCGGTATTGAGAGAAGAGTGATGCTCCTGTAGTTATCACAGTTGCTGAGATCGCCTTTCTTTGATATTTTTACCAGAAGTCCTTCTTTCCACTCTCTTGGTACTTGTTCCTCATCCCAAAGCCTGGTGAACAGAATGTGGAGTATCTTTGCAGTTACCGCTACGTCTGCTTTCAGTGCCTCTGCTAGAATGTTGTCTGGTCCTGCTGCTTTGCCACTCTTGATTTGTCTGATGGCCATGCTGATTTCTGCAATTGTTGGTGGGCCAACATTGATTGGGAGGTCCGTGGGTGCTGCTTCGATGTTGGGTGGGTTTAGTGGAGCTGGTCGATTCAAGAGTTCTTTGAAGTGTTCTACCCACCTGTTTTGTTGCTCTTCAATGTGGTGATTAACTCGCCTTCCTTGCTTTTGACTGGTCGTTATGGTTTGCGGCGATTTCCAGAGAGTTTCTTTGTCGTGTCATACAATTGTCTCATGTTTCCTTCTCTTGCAGCCTTTTCCGCCGTCGTTGCTAAATCTTCCACATATTTACGTTTGTCGGTTCTGATGCTCCTCTTCGCTTGTTTGTTTATTTCCGTGTATTCAGCTTGTGCCTTGGCTTTTTCTGCTCTTGTTCGGCTGGTATTGATTGCTGCTTTCTTGTTCCTTCTTTCTTGAATCTTATCCAGTGTATCAACAGTGATCCATTCCTTGTGATGGTGCTTCTTGTGACCCAGGGCCTCATGACATGTTGAAATGATTACTTCTTTGATCCCCCTCCAGTTGCTATCCACAGTAGTTCCTTCTCCATTGAGTAGATCATGAAGGGCCTGGAACTTGTTGCTGAGGACTATCTTGAATTTGTTGAGTTTGTTAGTATCCTGAAGAAAGGCCGTATTGAGCTTTTGTGATATTGTCCGCCCCGTTGTCCAGTGTTTCTTGAGTTTCAACTTCATCTTGGCTACCAGCAAGTGATGATCTGATGCTATATCAGCTTGTAAATACAGAAGGGAAAGTATTTATGAAGAAGTAGTGGAACTCAATATCTAGACGGGTATGAACTATAAATGTGTCTGCACCGTTGTGGTCGGATCTGATCCATGACGCTCACTGTCTCCAACCATTGGCTAAGATAATTATGCGGACCCCAACCAAGTAGTCTGAACCTGTCTGTACATCTCAGATCAACAGAAATTAAATTTCTGAACTGATATTCTGTTTTAGCTTGACAATCCATAGCTTTCCTCTAGCCTACTCTTACGCAAGCAAACAGCCCCGTCGATGTATGCACTGGTTAAGGTTATCTAACACATATCTTCACGACCTTAGTCGACGAAGATTTACTACTTCATCAATCAATTTTCTACATTTTCCAAGAACTTTATGCATAACTTCGACATCATTTATTCTGTCGCTTCACGAAAAGGGAGGAATACCTTGAAATTCATGCACAAAACCCTACAGTCTACACATATCTTCTACTTTCATAGACCATGTTTTGTGGACATAAACTGTAACGGAGCATACAGCTGGTCAGTATACTCTCTGTGTGGTTGACAAACAAACATCTCACCTGCTCCACAAGTAAAACAAGTTTGCAAAGCCCAACTGGGCTTTTCGAATCCTGGCCTATATTTCACCAGACACCATCCCACCAGAGCTAATGAGACTTCTATAATAAGTGAGGCAACCGAAACTCAACTTCTTCATTCCCTGTGATCGATCTAGGTAACAAGGCAGACCAGTCCTGAAGTATCATTGTGCGTTTAGAGAGAAACTCATCACAAACATGCTAGCATTATTGCTTAAGGGGGTCAGAAGACTGTATCTCATCAATTTCTTCACCAAATAAGACAATGTCATCTGTGTATATCAAGTCGATAAGTCAATCTCGTGATAGGAAATCAACCCTTCAAAAGTTAGATCTTAAAACTTCGATTTCTAAGGGGACATCTATGAGGAAACTTAATAAAAATGAGGGTAGTGGATAACCCTGACGAACACCACTTGTGGTTGACAATTATGGTGACAGTTTGCCATAATTTCTGACTCAACTAAGTGTTCAAATACAGAGCATTTGCTAGGTTCACATACTTATTTGTTACGACTTTTATTAACAAAAACTCACAAAACCTGTCGATCAACGGAGTTGAATAATGTCTTTAAGTCAGAAAACAACTACAATCGGTATCTGGTGAGTATACTTCTGGAATCTTAAAAGGGGTGAGTATTTGTTCAATGCATCACATTCACTCCTAGTTTTCTGTTCCCGAGCAACAGATAGGAGACAGATAATTATAGAGGCCAGTGTTTTCAATACTATTTTAGTCAAACTATTTCCTCTGTTGTTACCACGAGATTTCTATCTTTTTATAATCTGAGACGATCAGTGATCGAGATTATCCAGACGGGATTATATCCCGTCACCAAACTCTAGTTATAATCTCAATCAACTTACCTCCTAACATGCGACCGCCGTACTTGAAGTCCTGTCGAGCAAATCTATCTGGTGCTGTTGGTCTCACTCTTTCCGCTAGATACTACCTTATGAACTGCATCAAAAGCTGGAGGGAATCGTGGCATTTTCCTATGACGGTTGTTCAATGATATTCGTTACATATTATGACGAGTAGATAAAAGTATTTTACAATTTACAACTCATCTTATGGAAATATAAACATTTCGACTTTACATTTCTATATGTTTTCTAAAATAAATTTGTACTGTTTTCTCGTTTTAGATGTTGTCCTTATTTCATATCGAGAGAACTTAAAACCGATTCATCTTTGATTTTCATGCCTTATAATTACGTGCTTGATCCTCGAGTGAGTATTTTCTTTTACCTTTGTATGTATTTCTGTCTCTGTGTTTAGTAGCTACTATGATTAACAATTGTTAAGTATTATTCAGACCATTAGTCTTAATTAGCAATCAGATTTTACCACGTTTAGATAATGATCGAAGTTAAAGGAAAGGTTAACCTACATACCATACGCGAAGTATGATTTCCTATCAGACTGAATGACTTTATCTATCTGGACTATTTTAAATTGTTGATACTCCCATTAAAACTGCAAATCTCTGGTGTGTGCTACTTAAACGGACAGATATAAATACTATGTGTCAGGGATTAGAAGTAGATTTCTTACTGATAGAAGAGGAAAATAAAGAGTAATAAAAAAAACAGGAATGAAAGGACGATGTAGTTTTTAAGAGACATTTCAAGAAATACGTGCAAATAACTTACTTGATGCATTGTTTCCATATTTTGCAAAGATACTGTAATTCCGCATGATATAATGAATTTCTCCTGCTTATGTCTTCGTTCATTACAATTGGTGTGGCTGCCTCTACTCATGATGAAGATTCCATGGCAGCAGGATTTTTAGGGATGAGATAGGTTATAAATATATTTTTCCGGAGGTTCAGGTGGTTCTTTATATACTATTCCGCACTAGGGTAGTGTGTCCCCAAGAGACTTAAATGTTGTTTTTTCATCAAGTTGAGCGAGTACCTAATCAATTTCATTACCTTTAAATGAACTCTTTCATCTTGATTAATGATTACTGGTAACTATGATACCTATTCTATCTTGCATTTTTACTATGTAACGTACATATATGTTACTTATATCTGTCCATATAAATAGCACACATCACAATAGTAGAACCGAATGAGCCTTCGATTTGTACACATAATTTCTCTAAATTCACAAGAAATGAAAATTTTCTCTCACTTTAAGAAATGTTTCATGGCTTTCAGCTTACTAAAAAGTTTGACGTGTCAATAAAAAGTGAAAAAATATTCCCGATTATACAAAATGGCGGCCTGCTTAAATATCAGTGCTACTTGTTCCTGCTATCTGGATATCTCAACAAGTTATCTGCTTTTTGTTTGCTTTAACAGATCATTATGTCTTTTAATCAAATAAACTATTCAGACGCGTTTATGAAAAGTTTACGACCTTTCTCTGTACAAGTTACAAAAAAGTACAATCAGAGCCATCGTGGTGTCTGACATTGAAAAGAATGAACACAATTCAGATGTCGATTCCTGAACTGCTAACATATAACTAGCGATCACTCAATATTTATCGTCAGAATCGATCAGGAAATGAGAAAAGGAAATTTTTTGAAATACTTTTTGCTTAGAATTCTATATTGTACCAAAAATATAATATTGAATAAAGCAATTGATAGTAACAATAATATGGCTCGCCAGCTGAGTTATTAACATCAGAAATCTTTCGTTACATAATAATAAGGGGTACAAAAATTAAATCTGTAAAGGCGGCTTAGCGACCTGCTCATCGAATTTACAGGATTCCTGTGAGATTTGTGTATGATAACTATGCTACTTAACAGTAACTCGACTTCTATTCCAAGATTTATTCTTTCATTTTAGTGGTGGTTAGTCTAAATTATACTCTCGAACGACAATGACATCTTGAACCAGTTCAAAAGATCAGGAAGTAGCAAACATGAGTGAATAAATTATTGTGTAAAACTAAAGAATTTACAAAGAATACATTGTCTTAACATGATTAATGAACATTTTACGGTCATCCATAGTTTCCTAACAGTTAAAATTTGAGATTAGGATCGTGGTTCGGGGTTAGTTTATCTAAACCATAACTTTTAATACTAAATCCTCACTCCTAATCCCTAAACCATATACCTAATCCTAAAATTAAGCAAAATCCTAACCCTAAAAACATTGTAGTGAAATACTACTGTGTCATGTATTTCTTTAAATCCATGCACAATCATTTCATTTTCATTTGAAAGTTAATATTGTTCACAGGAATTTTATGTTTTTGAAGTACTTGATAATATTTTCTTCATTAAAATTAAACTCAGTATGACTGATAAAGAATAACTCGCTTTGATGTTTCGATAAACGTCACTAACTATCGGAATGTGCATTATAACATTTAAGTAGCTTTCTCTACTCTGATTGAATCGTCAATGTACTCAAGGTTCAACTTTACATGTTAATTGTAATCTATATTTTCTACTTAGTTGATGCAATTTTTATCAGGTTTGCTTATACTGAATTAAACCAGTCTCTATTGTTTTGGTATGTACTGAAAATTGATTGCTGTAGCTTTTTTATCATTTTTTCTGTTAGTTTGAACCTAAGCAACTTATATTTACTGTAGAACCATATCTAATATATATTCCAGAAGTCATAACAGTCTTTTAACATAAATCGACTACGGGTACGTTTTACTAACGAATCTAGTAATCCTTTTTAGGATTCTAATTCGATAATCGTGTAGCGCACAAAATCATAACATGAAATATATGTGGAACAGGGAACTGGTACAAAAACCACAATTAGAAATGAGGTTTGCAAATCTCTAGTCGAGAGGTTGCCCGATGTCGATTGTGCCACCAAAAGAACAGTCAAAAATAGATTATGGCTTTCAAATAATTGTATATGAGGAAAATTACAAAATATGCTATAAATTAGAGGATAACACACGCCTTTTTCAAGGGTACTAGGGAATAACAATGATAAAATGACACCTATCACTTTAAAATAGGCAAGCTGTTGTGAATTAACAAAACTCAAATGAATAACAGATATAATGGTGATAAAATAATAGAAACAGAGAGGAAAGTGCACTAGAAGTATGTAAACGAATTTAAAGATCGAGAAATAATTGAATCATTTGCAATAATCAGATCTCTGACATAAAAAAAACATAACGTTGCAGGTTCTTAAAATGACTGGACGTAACATACTACTAAATAATGACAGTTAGTATAGTGTGGTGTAAAACAAGAATTGAGCAAGAAAGAGATGAATTTCGGAAGTTCGTAACAGATTCAACACTAATAGATACTGGATACTAGAACATGGTATGTGACAACATATCTCAAAAATCAAATTGGCTAGCTCGAAGAGATTACACTGAAATCGGACGACAGGTTTCCATAACTAAATCATTTTTGCCTACGTGGAAGTGTACCTTAGAAATTCAAACATCGCCACTCTTTCTTTAATGTCAAGGCGAAATATTATTTATTCTACCGAAGTTGAACAGTTGGGTAGTATGACTTCTTATTACATGGCCATTGGAACTGACAGACTAAGGCACGGGCTTCCACATTACTGTTAAGCAGAAATCATTATTATCTTTACAACTTTTAGGTAGGAAGAGTGGAACGCGTGCCAACTGTCGGTCGAAATCATCACACAGCATTAAAAATCAAAACCGATCGCCCTATCCTATTGTCTGTTTTGTTCCATTTCAAATACTAAGCTAAAAGTTATGTCATAAAAGATGTGACTTGACTACGGGTAATCAACTAATATTGCAAATTACTAAGTAATACTACTATAACCAACTTACCCAGTACTGACTTGCGAAATCCACCATCTGGTACATCTTAAAATATAAGGGCTAGTAATTTTACGCCACATATATAGGTGTAGCTGCTTTTAAGTTTGCTGCCTAACTTCGAGCGTCATCATGGCCCTAACGGTTGCTCTTGATAATTATATCTTTTTCCTAGAAATACCTTAATTTTCACAATTTCTTGACTTACATTCATTATATTTTTTCAATTACATAATCACAGTTGTTATAGTACTCGCCAATCATTTACAAGATGTATATATATTCATGCGTCTTGTTTAATTTGTTAATTTTTTTCACTTTCATAGATTCGAAGTCTTTATAATATTAATCTTGAAAATACAACAGTTATTTTCGATGAAGCTCATAATATTGTAAGTTATGTGATGGATCTACATACCTATTTAGTTAGTTAAATAAAAGTTAACTTCACTGCCTTGTGTTTATATGTCGTACTTATTTTTACCATTTAAACATAATAATCTTTACCTGTACGTAGCTCAATCTTGTACTTTTGTTGCATTCATAAATTACTTGACTTATCCGTTCCATTATGTAGTGAATACGAACAATAGTGGTGACAATAGAATGTATTTCAACATAAAATTACGAAATCTCTTAGTAAAATTTGAGAATCATACAGTTGACTCTTCATTTGCAAGGTGTCAATCAACTGTATCAAACTTAAATGTTCCTTCTGCGGAATGTCAATCAATCGTCTCAGATTTCACGGTTCTTTCGTTTCCACATCAATCATTCTTTGTTCTCGTTCCCTTTCTTCGATGTTCTTAGTCTTCTACCTTCAGGCATTTAACATTCTATTGGTGCAACTTGCTACTTATATCTGTCGACATCAGTAGCACAAAACATACTTGTCCTCCCTTTAAAGCAGTCGTTCTTGCGGCAGTTCTGCTTGCTGTGCCACTTCCTTTCTTTGCAGTCTGTCCCACCCTCTCCGTCAAAAAGTTGAGTTGGACGCGCTGGTCTCTGTAGCTCCGTCGTCCACCTGGCTCACGGGATGTTCACCGACTGTGCTCCAGCGACATACTGAGCCATCTAGATCCGATGTCCACCCGGCAGCTGCACGTCCCACTACTCTCCGTTGACAGCACCCGCTACATCGAACACCATCCCACCAGAACACTCTACTCAAAGTCAATTGCCTGCACCTGACCGCTTCAAATAGCTCCAGGTCCGCAATGGCGTCCGTAGAACAGCACTCTTCGCCCCTCCTGATTGGCAGCGACACCAAATGTAGTGAATGAAAACACAAGTACTTATAGGATGGAAACCTCATGGATCTAGGATCATCAAAGCATCATTCAGAACAAAGGAGGAGAGAATTACAATAAATGTTATCCAATGTTGTGCAACCGTCAATGATAGCAATAACGACGATAAACATCAACTTTACGAGGGCCTGCAACCGATCATAGCGAAATGCCCAGGAGAGGACCTGACCATCGTGATGTGAAATCTAAACGCCAAAGTCGGCATGGACAACAATCGGTATGATGATATCATGGGACGACATGGACTGGTGGGGAGAAAGGAACGAGAATGGTGAGAGATTCGCAGACTTATATACATTCAACAAAATGCTGATAGGCGGCACAATATTCCCACATAAACACATACAAAATGCTACATGAATCTCACCAGATCACACCACGGATAACCAGATCTATCAAATTTGCATCAGTAAAATATTCAGAAAGTCAATGGAAGACATGCAGAAAAAGAGAGGAGCTGACATAGTTTCAGATCACCCTCTGGTGGTGGCCATGATGAAACTGAAGCTAGAGAATGATTGGACAGCTGGACAAACAACATTACAAAGTTTCAGTAGAGCCTTCCTTCGACATACTGACAAACTGAACGAATTGAAGATGACTCTCGACAGCCGTTTGCAAACCTCACAGGATCTACAGGAAGAAGAAGAAGAAGAAACGATTATGGAGAACAACTGGAAAGAGATCAGAGAAGCATTAACGTCAACATGTCAGGAGGTGCTGGGTTGCAAGAAGCATCATCATAAGGAATGGATCTCCATCGAAATCCTGTTTTGAATTCAAGATAGGAAGAACAAGAAAACGGCAAATAACAACAGCCGAACACGAGCAGAGAAAGTCTCAAGGCACAAACTGAATACTTTTAAGCAAGCAAGCAAGCAAAGATGAGAATTAGAGCCGACAAGCAGAAATACGTGGAAGAGCTAGTAACGATGGCGAATAAAGCTGTAAGAGAAGGAAATATGAGACAGCTATATAACAGCCAGCACGCACTAACTTTTAATTAGTGTCACTCCACCAATGATCGAAGAAATCAGGATGACCTTCAGACAAATCAAAAGTGAGAAAGCAGCAGAACCTGACAACACACCAGCCACAGCACTGAAGCCAGACGTCGAAGTAACTGCAAACATGGTCCACGTTCTTATCACGAAGATTTGGGAGGAAGAACAAGTGTCGACAGACTGGAAATAAGGATAACTTATCATTATACCAAAAAGGTCTGAGTGAATGTGTGAAGAATCACAACACTGTCAGTATCAGGAAAGGTTTTTAATAAAGTGTTTCTGAACCGGATAAATACTCAGTGGACGCTCGAATTCGAGGTCAACAGGTCAGATCCCATAAGGATTGTCGAGCAAAGAACGAATCACGACACTACGGATCATCGTTGAACAATCATTTGAATAGAACTCATCACTATACATCAACTTCCTTGATTATGAGAAAGCATATGACAGTGCGAATAGGAGGAAATTATGAAAACTTCTTTGACACTATGTAATGGGTATGTGAGAAAATCGTCAACATCATCCTGAATTCATATGACGGACTACACTGCAAAGTCATGCATGGAGAACAGCTGACAGACGCATTCTCAGTAAGGACCGATGTAAGACAAGACTGTCTGTTCTCCACCTTTCTCTTTCTACGAGTGTTTGACTGGATTACGAAAACCTCGACATCGGAGGGGAAGCACGGAATACAATGAATAGCTTGGATGCAACTAGACGAGTTGGACTTCGCAGATCACCTGGCTTTTCTATTTTCATGGAGTTTTGTTTTGTTTTCTTCTGAACGATGAAAGCTCCATGACTAAACCATCCAGCTCAGGAAACAAAACTCCATCAAAATCACCCACCTGAGCTACAAATCTTCCCCACCACCTGGCTCTTCTATCTCATACACATCAACATATGCAGGTCAAGAAAATCAGTGAAGCAGAAGCAGCAGCACCAGCAGCCTCTGTATGCATCAGTAGGTCTCAACATACACAAGAGAAAAAGCAACATCCTCAAATGCAACACAGAGAACACCAACCCAATCACACTTGACGGAGAAGTTCTAGAAGAGGTGGAAACGTTCACGTATATGGGTAGCATCATCGATGAACAAAGAGGATCTGATGCGGACGTGAATGTAAAGATTGGCAGGACAAGGGCCCCACTCATAAAGTTGGAGAACATATGGAACTGAAAACAACTGTCAGTCAGTCAAAATCAAGTTCAGAATCCTCAATCCGAACGTCAAGACAGTTATACTGTACGGAGCTGAAACTTCGAGAACTACTACAACCATAATCAGAATCGTACAAGTATTTATAAACAATTGTCTACATGAGATACTCAATGTCCGTTGGCCGGATATCATCAACAACAGCCTACTATGGGAGAGAAGAAACCAGCTTCCATCTGAAGAGGAAATTAGGAAAAGACATAAAAGAGTTGGATAGGACACAGATTGAGGAAATCATCAAACTGCATCTCGAAGCAAGCGCTAACTTGAAATCGTGAAGGGGAACAGAGAAGAGGAAGACCAAAGACCACACTGCATCAACAATTGGAAGTAGACATGAATAGGATGAATATTTACTGGAAAGGATTGCTCAAGAAAGTTTTATGGAGGATGATGGTGAGCGGACTATGCTTCTCCATGAGTTGTAACAGGCCTATGTATGGTGGATGTTTACCAACTAGCGTTACTTGTGACTTAAAGGAGATATCCGTTGGCAACTAAAGGATAAGTTTACTGCGCATCTTTTTGTTCCGTTTTACTGTATGGGTATGAAACTTGTGTATTAAGAATGGAGGATATTCGCAGGCTTCTAGTATTTGATGTTAGGTGTCTTTGAACAATCTCTCGTGTATTTAGGGATTATCGAGTAAGTGATGTCTGGTTTAGGGATAGGTTATTGAACAAAGGTGACAAATCGACTGGTGGGGCAGTAAATCTTGATCTGCTGATGTGGTTTGGACATGTGTTAAGTATGCACAACCACTGCTCACCAAGGTAGGCGATGTCTTATGTGGGAGCGGGTTGAAAGTAAGCCAGAGTTGCTCGAAGCAAGACATGGCATCAGTCCAAGAGGTCATTGATTTTGATGGTTATGATACATTTCGCCACTGGCTTCTCTGCTCTTCTGTGATGGTCATCGGAATATTTAAAAATAATCATACTAAACTATATTATTAGTTAATGGACTTTTTGGTCGTTGATCTGCAATGTAGGCGAATGTTCACGAAATATTTTCCTATAGTACTTCAATTAATAAGCGGCTATGTAGTTAGATGGAATTCGTTTTTACCAATGATTTATCATGCAGTGTTATGAATATTATAGTTGATAGCAAACTTGCTTAGATACATATTATATTTTCAGTTTTGATTTTACTAGTTCAGTTACCGAAGCTAATGTAATACAACAGTAAACATTTCTTTCGCTCTATTCTTGTTGTTGGATAGGAGCAAGTGTGCGAAGATGCTTCATCAGTGACATTAAGTTCTGCTTTATTAGCGTCAGCTATTGAACATGTTAAATGTGTGTGCGAAATTGTATTTGATCATACTAAGGAGCATCAAGAAATAGAACTTTCAGAGAGTAACTGCAACATGAATCAAAATAGTGAACAAAAACTCTCAGTTATAACGAATAGAAAAGGGTTGTTTGATATGACACATCCTGAAGAAAATGCAAGTATGTTATGTTTATTGAAAGATGATATTTAACTTGACATTATTTCGTTTTCTAGTTGAAGCTTTGAGCATTGAAAAAATGATTACATTAAAAGGTTAGTGGTACGCATTGTTGTATAACTAACCTATTTTATGTTAGGACAGTTGATAGAATTAGAAAGATTAATTGATGAATTAAATGTCCCTCCGGAAGGTCTTACCAAAGATGGCGCGTAAGTTATTCTATGTGGTCATTGGTTGTCTCAAAATTTGTCAAAAGTCATTTAAGCTGTTTATTGGAATGAGGCGATATATATAAAATAGAGCTAGTTACTATTTGGTCATTGATTACCGTATTTTTTCACGTTGGTTGAATTATATACTGTAGGATCTAGAAAGTCATTTGCTTCTTAAATAATAATAATAATAATAATAATAATAATAATAATAATAATAATAATAATAATAATAATAATAATAATTTGATCACTACTTTATTTGTTGATATAATTTCATATGATTACTAAGTCCGAAATCTGACTTGCACCTCCGCGTCGTGCCTCCTGGATAATGGGACGAATGACTCATGAACTAACGTGAGTGGTAACCCGGGTGGTAGAGATCGAGTTAATCACCCACTCGACCGATACCCTCAAATGGATTACGAACTCCACAAAGAAACGCAGCACAATTACTCTTGGATGAAAAAACGACAAAAAATTGACAAAAGTGGCACATGTAATGTACGAGGTTGCTCCTCACGGGGCAGCTATTCTAGCCCTGGTAGTTGTGCCGTGCTTCGATGTGGCCTGTTTCTCTCTAGAGAGGCCTATCAGGCTTCACCAACTTGTTTGGCTGGAAGGTGGGGGGGAACTAATTTCAGTGGTATATAAAACTCTGTGCATTAAATAAATAAATTAAAATTAATTGATAATTGTATCACTGAATACAGTTGAAGGATGAATGCTCAAAGTTGTATCCTTCATTGTTTGAAATTTATCGACCTCATTAAAAGGTAGAATATTATTTTCAAATTGTTTCTTTCAATAAAGCCGGATTCTTTAGTTAAATAATGATTACTTACGATATAATATTTTAGATGTTCCATATATGAAGATAACAAGAATCTATGTAAACTGTACACCTGAATGCTAACTAAATTCATAAGTACCTGTTTATTTTACAAGCCTCTCCAACTGTGATTCGGATAGTTGTAAATTATTAGCACAAATGGTCTATTTGATTTACTGTGTGTATTTATTTGACCGCAAACGACCATCCCTTTCTGCATTTTATCAACATAACTTTTCAATCAAATGTAATAATTTACACAATGAATCATTCAAACAAAAAAGTAGCGCAAAATAATACTCGTTTAACTAAATGTCAGTGTTTTCAAAAGTGATTACTGAATGGATATTGACTTGTGATGACATATACCTTGAAACGTCATCAATGTATTAACATTTAATCATTTGTTAATGTGCCCACGTCACTATCGTTTGTTTAAAATTCGCAATACGTTTTTTCTAAAACTTTTATTTAGTTTCATCTTTGATCTTCTTAGTCGAGCTGGAATCAATCACTGGACCAATAATACTTTACAAACCGTAATCGATGAGATTATGTCATTCACTAATTCAACACATAGTAAATTATTACGATAGTAATTGTTATCGTATGCATTATTTCTTATTTAATTTTGGTAATGTTTTTTAAAGAGTTTTGTATTCAAAAGAGGAGATCAGACTAATATAAAGCTGTTAATTTCAGTTAATCAGTGCAGTCTGTCAAACTGTTGATTGTTTTTGTGTATATCATGTTAGACTGTATATGTGCCCAAACTGAATATAATCGCAATAGACTAGGAAAATTGTTGGTATCCATCTATGACTGCTGAATCGGATTAATTAATTAATCTAATTTTCCTTAGAGCATGTACGGGATATAACAAATCATTTGTTGAAAAAAATAGCTAACGTTTCACAGTTTATACAAACGTCTCAATTTCGGTTATCATAATTCTCTATCATCTTTTCACAATCTAAATTAATTTACTTACTATTCACCAATGTTTATCTCTCTGTTGTTGTTTATAGTTTGCTTCTATGCAATCGTGATATGGGGGTACTTAAACTATTGTGTGAAATACTACAATCATTTGCTTACTTCTTTAGCTCTGACTCATGCACAAAATGTTGTAAACCATGTAATACATACACAGATTAAATTATTGTTCAAATAATGTCAACTATTTCTCTCTCAATGCGTTCAAATCTATTCAGTAGACATTTAAAATGATACATATTACATTGAACATTTTGATCAGTGATTACCGAATAGTCTTACTTTCTTCCTTGAGTCGGCATGACAGTTACATTGTGATAGGTAGCAAGTAGCATTTATTCTACAGTCATAGTGAACAACAGTATCAGCATTTTAGTCGAGTCACGTTACAAATACAATTGTCATTTTTCAAATGCTTACGGAAACTTCTTTGTGGCTAAATTTATAAGTCATAAAATTAAAAAATGACTAACTGCTAAACATTGTGAAATTTAAAATGTTTTATAGTTTTTTTCTCAAGGTGTAGCATAACGCAAAACCAAAGTTCAAATAATAAATGGCTAATGATACTTAAGTTTAGAATGTCAGAAACGCTTAAAACTCTACATAGATTTACCATTGATATCGATTTCGAATTCTTTCTCTTTTAATCATTAACTATTCTAACCAATAGGTTTCTATTCCACCCTACCTACTTCCATCTCAGCGACCAGATGATACCATTAGTTCTCACACAATGTATTATGACTCATAGTCGATTACATAAATCTGTGAGTTAAGCGCTCTGAATTATAGACAAACCATTACTGTCTGCATTGTAACACACAATCGTCCGATACACAGTCGACAACTTTCTGAGTTTGTTGTCATTGTCTTTTTCTGACTTCTTTGAGATCCCTTTGACGTTCAGTTTCAGCTACTTGAGATATCGAAGCAAACAATTCCTATGCGTAAGTGGGCGATACAGATTCGTACATTTTATTTGCTGCTATTCACATTCATTCAAATCAAACACTTATATCTAAACATAAAATCATTCATATATTGGGGTTATAAAATCTAAAAAAACTATTACCCAGTTCGTGTAATTCGTTTTAATTTCACTCTTTTATTCTTAGATGTCAAAATTCGCAAAACCAAAGGTTTACACGAAGTCAGTGAGTTTCTAAAAGTAAGAGTCTTTTATTAAAAACATGGTAATTATATCATCTTGATCAATTTTTCTGATAGTTTTGTTTCTTTAAATTATCTCTCAAAAGGTAGGCATTATGAAGTACTTAGTTTATATACTATAGAATAAATGATATGTCGCAATCAATTTTCACGATTATTATTATTCTTGAGAAACTCATATCGGTAGAACATAATTTTAGAATTGATGTTATTCAATGAAATATTCGTAGGAAATTACGGGAAATGTATAAATTTTAATCAGCGTTCCCAAGTTTATCTTGACAACACTCTCATTCTAGTTCGTTCATTCTCAAGCTCGCATATAAATTCTTGTGAATACATATTCCTTTCGTCAGTTTATTATCTAAACCAAATCACGACGTAAAATGTGTTATAAAATTATTTTTCCTTATCCTTTTCCAGTCAATAGCTATGAGAAGTAAAAGTTAAGATGTTACCTATTTTCCATGATTTGTGTTTTTTTTTTCGACTGAAAATATACAAGCACATATACTGTCAATCATTATATTTCCATACCTGTTTATCTGTGTAATGCTTAACTGACTTTGTAGTTACTCCCGACCGTCAGTCAGTCAGCTATACCATAGAACCAGGTACATATATGCATCAATCCAGGTTGCCATACCGCATTAGCAAAACAAGATAAACAAATTCATACCCACCTTAATGTCTTTCTGTTGGTTTTAAGCTACCTACTCAAGCATTTAAGTCACCTACTACGAGTACTATGTCTGAGTGTTTAGCTTTCTGAAAAAGTTCAGAAACCTTTGTGTAAAAGTCATCTTTCACTTCATCCAGGCTGCAGTCAGTGGGAGCGTAGACAGAAATGACGAAAAGGTAAAGGCGTGTGTCCCTATCCTTCCGAGTTCTTACAGAACCGTTTAGCCGAACAACACATAATAGTATCACAACCCTCTGCAGTAATACTTCGTTCTCGAACCGTAAGTGGTTACTTTTAGTCTTACTGTTCTTCAACCGACCTACCTAGCACGGAAGAACCTGAGGGAACATGTTCCAGACAGTAGATCTCGATTGGTACTCCACGATAGGCTATCCCAACCACCACGTCAAAGTATATGATTAGAGATTCGCTTTTAAATAATTGTACTTGTAAATAATATTTGAGTTATTTAGTTAAAGTTCAGTTACTTTAGATTGTGTGTCAGGTGTTTAGTATTTTAATGTAACTATTATTGTCAATTAACTTATATTAGTGCAACGGATGCATTTTAATGAACATAATATTCATTTGAATAATTTATAGACTTGATTCTTTTGAAATAATTGTAAACGGGAAGACAGCTTCAAATAAAAACGGTATTCGTTTACACACAATATTTTTTAGCAGTATCACTATATCCTTTGTTCTATAAAACATTATATATATATATATATATATATATATATATATATATATATATATATATATATTTGTAGACTGTGTTCGGGTACCTCCCGGGTGAAGCAAATGTAACTTTCAATTTCAAGACACACTTTAAACTACAACATAATGATTCAATCTCGTGTTATCGTTTACATATTAAAGATGATATATTATCAGCTAACAATTGTAATAAGTATGGTAAAAATGCTTGGGATATGCAGCCTAATACTACTACTACTGTTGGTGCAGCTAATCGTACAATTAGTTATTGGTGTTTCAGTCCTGGACGGTGGGTTATTTTCTAATTTGATTATATGTTGTAGTAAAAATCCACTTTCTACAGATGATCATATTTCAAGTGGAAGTGATTAGTAATCATTTCCTCACAACTTAGTAGCGTTAACACAATTGTGAATGATTGAGATCATGAACCGACTGATGGTAGACCACCTTTGGAAACCTGGAAGCACTGGACGGCCGTTTCGTCCTATCACGGGACTCCTCAGCAGTGCGCATCCACGATCCCTGTCGCGGGATTCGAACCCAGGGCCTTCGGTCTCGAGCGCGAACGCTTAACCTACGGGACCACTGAGCCGGCATCCAATGGTGATAGTGTCTAAGCACATGTTAATTACTAGTATAGAGATTGTGGAGATTATTTAGTTTTTCATTGAGATCATGAACCGATTGATGTTAGACCACCTAGTGACTAGCTTCATGAGGGAATTCTCAGAGTTCTAGTGAGAAGCCGTGACCAGTGGAGCTAATCCATGTCGGCTAGAGACAGGTATCTACCTCAGTACAATGGAAGATGGTCGCGCAATTTCGTGGATTGGTTGATGTTAGACATTAACGCCGTTGGATGCCGGCTCAGTGGTCCCGTAGGTTAAGCGTTCGCGCGCGAGACCGAAGGCCCTGGGTTCGAATCCCGCGACAGGGATCGTGGATGCGCACTGCTGAGGAACCCGTGATAGGACGAAACGGCCGTCCAGTGCTTCCAGGTTTCCAAAGGTGCTCTAACACCAATCGGTTCATGATCTCAATCAAAAACTTAATAATCTCCACAACCCCTATACTAACAATTGTGAATGATAATACAAGACTGATCTATATCAGTACTTTGTGTTTATGGACAGGAAATATAGTGATTAAGTCTATTCAATATTTCAGGCACTAGGTGAGTTGCACTATCTCTGATCGGCTGGTCACTGACGAGATTTCAGTGTCAATGCAAATATCTCTCGTTAATAACCAATTTATGTCACCTTGGGCAGATATCTGAATTTATGCCCATCCTATTTTGTGTTAGATTACTACTGTGATGCTTCCTACATAGATATCACAACAGGACCATCTGTCGTAAGGTTTCAACTATTGTAATGTTAGTTTGCGATAGACTAAGAGTTTTCAAGTCGAGGCATATTATCACTTCGTGTACCTACTGATCATCTTAGTTGCAAAAAGTATTACCAAAGGCCCACGCCGTATCCGAATCGGTGACAGAAAACATTGTGTAGGGTAAACATAATTCAGTTACATCGGGACAAACGTTTCCTCTTTTTACCATGGTGCTTGTTACTGTCATTTTATCTCTTGTTCCATACATTCAAGTAAGCCTTCATATCGAACGGTTCAGTTTATTATGTACTGACTAGTGCTATGATTGTGATTGTGACTGGTTGTATTCATCGAAGTGATTGACTTCTTCCACTTCTATGTAATCTTTGTCAAGTGAATACCTACTACACGTAGGTTTGTACTTACAAATTTTTCTAATTCGTGTAGGATATGTAGATAGCATTATTCTGTCTAACAAGAATGCTTATTGAATGAATACTGTGAAAATTTTTTAGAAATGTTTTCATTAATGTCAAACGTTGTAAATGAAACTTGCTATTTGACTACTGGATGCAAGAAATGACTTATTTGTTATATATTATGTTATTTGTTTCACAGATCTGAAAGCTGCTTGATCACTAAGTGAATGTAAGTACAGGAACATAACTAAATCTTTATATCACTTATGAAGCTTGTGACATATGGATGTATATCCATTATTGAGTATGTATGCATTACAACGATTTGCTCTACTTTACGAATATTATGAATGATAATAGATCTACTTATTGTTAGGGCCTTATCTTTGACTACCTAAGAATATTGACTGGAGAAGATTTAGTAGATCAACGCATCCAAGTAATTGCTATTCTATATGAAACTGTTAACTTTGTAATAACACATTCAATCATTCAGACAAATATAAGCACGAAATGTTTTTCTAAAAAGCTTTGTGATGCAAGTTCTTACGCTAATTACAGTCGGAATTTCGACACAAACGATCCCTTGTATTAAACTCTGGATAATAAAATGAGTTTTAAACCCTACGTTATACATTTGCATGTATAGGGCATCAAACAGCGTTTTCTACTAAATAGTGGCTTTTTTTACTCAAATTTTCCCTGCAAATATTCGAACTACTATCTGAAAGAGAATATTATAAAGTAGTTTTTAAAGTGTATATTATGCAAACTCTGACAATGTGTTTATGTATTCACTGCCAAACAGTGATCAAATTCATTCAATGTGTTGGTCATGTTGAAATTTTTTCTTTTTCTTGCACACACTTTATATTCACAAATTCTCGTATTTAGTGCTATACAACAATTGATCCAACAAAATGTACGTTGTATCATTTTAACTAGTGGTACACTCTATCCAATTGAACCAATAGAAGCTGAATTAAACTTGTAAGTTAATTATGTACACTGAACTAACAGTTTGGTAACATCAAACTGTATAGTGACTACGTATTTATGTTATATATTTACATTTGACTGCATATTTTGTAATAAAATTGCTTCCACATTGTTCATAACAGAAATTAGTTATTTAGAATTTATAAGATCTATTTAATATCTAACAAAATAGAATTCGTTGTTTAATAGAGCAGTAATTGTCATTCAAACAAGTACGTAGATAAACTACAGAGTCGTTTGATATCGAACTAATAAATCGACTTTAAACACTATAACTTAATCATTTCTTAGAACTAAGTTCTAGATTCACAAGACATATTAACACAAAAAATGAAGCCTCAATACTCCTCTGTGTTTATTTATGAAAAACGTTGTTTCAAACTTGTATGATTCCATGGTTTCTGATTTAATCATTCGTCCCTATAGTTTATTGAGAAGGATCAAAATGTACATTGTTTATGATATAAAATCTGAGAAATATGTTTAGCAATAACATAATTAAACACAAATAAAATACGGAGATCAGTTTAAGCCAATAGAGTCTTCAAATACAATCCGAACGCTGTACTATCATCACAAATACAGTTGAAATATCAAACGACATCTTCCCATTGTAGTATTTTCCACCAAGAAACTGACCAACCTGGTAACCAGATAACTGTATCTGGTTTACCTACATAACGTCCAAAGAAAAAACAACAAATTTTAAAACAATCTACAATTAAAAATACGAAGCTTAAATATACTCTCATAGGAATATCAATTGATTACCAGTGAATAAGAGCAACAGTGTTAATTCGTAAATAAATAAGTTTGTAAATGAAACACGAATCTGCACAAAGTTGTTCAATTTATCTGACCAGTAAACGAGTCAGTTTGACATGTTCATTTATGTTATGATTTTTAACTTTATTAATACATTCAAAATAATCATAGTTTTATTCATCTAGGAAATTTCCCATATCACTCCGTAATCCTCATGTTATTAATCCAGACCAATTGAATTTATCAATTATACCACGTGGACCCGATGGAGAGAAATTAAATGCCACCTATTCTGTACGAGAAACGTCTGCTTATCGAAATTCATTAGGTCTACTATTAAGTACGTCATTTATGTTAATTATTATTAATTAACACTTTGTATTTTTCATAAACGATTACACTGTATCACTGTTTGTTAGGGCCCCTAAATTCCCTGATTCAGCTGAGGGCGAGGAGAACTCGCTCTCCACTGCCAGGAAAGTCTCGCTAACTACCTTCTTGCGGTGGTAGTGTTTTTCACGATATCAAGAGAACAAAAAGCGAATGTTCGACGTTTGAACCGAGTTGTTTGAAGTTGGAAAACCCTGATTCCTAACCAATGGTACACATAGGCTCCAGTATCCTGAGGGAACAAATGGCGTATGAACCTATTGTTGATCACCGGCTACCATAAAACTGCATCTCTTATGTTGCTCCACTGCCTTGTGGATTAGACTTCTAGGTCAAAGGCTCTGGGATCGGCCTCCTGAAAAAAGCAATTTCGGTCTAGACACCTGGGATCAATATTTTCACAAAATCAATCCAAGTCGTACGACTGAAATGAACTGATAGATATCCACAAAGGTCCTCTTATAAGAGCACTCAATTTACGATGAGCCTGGTGAAGGTGTGCATAATGAGTTATATCTAGCCAAAAACTTAACCTGTACGTTAAAATGTAAATGATAGTCTTCAAAAATTCTACTGTCATATGAAAGAAGTTGGAAAATATTCTCACTGAAAATAAAGTTAGGTTTGATGGTGTAAGTTGACACTTCCCTGCTGCCTATATTATGGAAGAATATTTATTAAGTTTTCTAAAAATGATGCTTGATTTGGGGTGAATTTGAGTACTCGGTAGCGTTTTCATTAAGCCCATAAAAGGGCCCGCTGCACTTGATCTTTTTGTGACCTTTTGATATGTTAACTTCATTTTTTCTAACCTTACTGCCAGCGAAAAAATTCCACTAGTGAATTTGAGGTATTCCGCTTTTAAGACCTACCTTTCTTAGCCCCTTTGTACGTTGTGGTTAAGCAACGTCGCTGAATATACCGCTTAGAAATCACTCCTGCCATCTCGCCATACAGTTAGCAGTACAACTTGGGTCTCTAGCTTTAATTTGGTACGTTTAGTTTTAGTGTCCCAGCCAATTTGGCTCGATTCGGTCATCACGATAGGTAAGCTGACCACCATGTCGGCATAGTAGTCATGGTTAAGAATGTATACAAAATTTGCAAATGATTGATACGGAGATGATTGTTTGATTTTTCATTTTCTCAACTTATCAGTATCAAAAGCATTGAAGAACAGAATTGTTTACGGTTTTTAGTTTTTAAGAAATAATCTACCATCTATCAGTGTATAATTATTTCTACATTTGATTAAACTAACTAAATTTATTGTTCGTTATTTTCATTTCTTTTTTAAATGAAAAACTTCACTGGATTTTTGCTACATCATCAAATGACACAACTTTTGTAATTGATCTCCAGTTCAATTAGCTGAAGTCGTACCTGCTGGCCTATTAATATTTTTTCCATCATATGCGTTTATGTCACAGTGTATCGAATTTTGGAAGGTAGTTTTTTTAAGGGAATATATTTATTAAGAAATAAAATTATAATAGTTGAGATCATGAGTCAATTCAAGCTAGACCACCGTGGAAAACCTGTAAACTCTAGACGGCCGTTTTGTTCTAGTATGGGACTCTTCTTCCATGATCCCGCCTCGCAATATTCGATCCTAAGATTTCCATGGTGATATAGCTTCAATTGACTCATGATCTCAACTAATAAAACTACTATAATAATAACCAAACCATTTTTGATACAAGTAAAATTATATTTGATTCATGAATTGATTTTTCTTTCATTTTACACGTTATATTGAAATTTTAATGGATTACAGTGTTGAATGTTTCGATCAAAATACAATTTTGATCTAATCTTCTTACTTGTTTTGTCTAAAATTGAAATGGTCAAAATATTGTTATCATTTCTATGCTTATTTGAATGTGTCAAGTTATTTTGTAATAATCGGTCATGTCTCATATTTTACTTTTAGAAGCGTTCATTTAAAGTCCGAGGGGGAATTCATGCTGCTAATTGTATAGAGGTGTCACGGCAGTAGGGCGTTTCTTTCATACAACCAGCATAACAGCAATGCTGCCTTCCCACAAGAAAGGGTCGTGTTAGAAAGGTCGACCCTAAAAATGATCACCTCGCCTTATCACGGATTTCTGTCTCTAGCGATAAGATCCCAACAAGTACGGAGCTAACACGAAAATTACTCACAAAAAGGTCGTGCGTGACTGACCTCAAACAGTTGTCCCTTGGGCACTGCAGTCACGCTTTCAGGCCACTAAGCTTACCTCTAGTCTAATTTCCTTTTAAGGTACCTCTAGAGGAATCTCTCCGCGGTGTAGGCAACCGGGAAGTGATAACCGCCCTCATACTTCTAACAGCACTCAAGACACTGTATTCATAATCAATTTCTCTAATTTCTATTATTCCTTCCATCTTGACTATCACCTGTAAACGTCCTCCTCAAGTGTCATCATAGCCAACGATTTTAGTGCTCAGAATACTGTCCCAAGTCTACTGAAACCCCGTTCCAAACTGCACATTGGAACCAACATTCAATTTAATTGATATACAAATGTATCAACTTTCTATTAAATTATTACAGTTGAGATGATTATGAACTTAATTGATTGTCATGTATATTTCACAATTGGAACGAATAATATACACGAAAATGTATCATTTTTATAGAATTAAATGTACAATCTTTTTTTGATTATCAGTGTTATCCCTTTATTACATCTCCATAATTAATTTTTCTTTATCTTTTAAATAGAATGGTGATATTTATGAAAAATTATCAAAATTTAAACATATTTTTATTGAACCACGTGAAAAAAGTCAGTTCAACAAGGTGATTATAACAATGCATAATTTTAATATATACTTTGTTCAATCTGGAAAGAAGCATCTTAATAAAGTTTTATTGTTCAATTTCATTTATTGATGGTAAATTAGTTGATGAGGTTGTGAATCTTCATCGACTACGTGTTGCGTATGCCTGAACATCGATTACCATAACGCGCAATGCTAATCGGTGTTGGGGATGGTTGGAAGAAACTTAGTGGCGGCCAAACTAAAACGTGGTATCGGTGCTTGAAGTCACTAACTTCTAGTCTTAGCCATGTTGGTAGATGCAGACTACTTGGTAGGGGTCCGCGTGACTATCGTAACTAATGGTTGGGGACTGTTGGTGACATGGCTCAGAATCGATCACAATTTGTCTTCCTTTAATCTATTCAATTAAAATCGTTTCATATCTTTCTTTCTACTAACTAATTCTTTCTCCCTATATTATATCTTTATACACAACCTTTTTTTACATATAACTACCGTTGAAGTAACTACTTCTATGAATTTGTTGTTCATCTTGTTGTAGTAATGAGGCATGGGGTCTTGGACCGATGCACATATGTGCCTAGTGCTACGTTGTAGCTGATTGCTTCTAAACTAATGTTACAACATATGCGGTTTAGTTGATCCATCAAATAATTTTCATTTACCAAAGTATTCATTATTATGTCATTCGCTTATGAACAACTTGCCCCAATTTTTCAGTACGTTTAACTGAGATGTATTGACAAAAAGCCGATCATTGTATAATTTATCCCTTTAGATTAACAGAGTTTTGCAGACCAAATAAAATTGATGATTTTCACATTCAATTTAATCTGATAATTGTCAGTTTTTATGTAATTCACATAGTATGATTTACACTTTACTACATTGGATATTTCCGACATGTTTACTTGTTTTCATTTAAACATAACTTGTTCTGTATTCTTTGAATGTTAATTATTTCGAACATGTCGTATTTCCTGTGTCATTCAATTTTCGAGGATAGTTGTTATTAGATACCCCCCCCACCAAACTGGTTTAACATTGTTATTTGATCTATAATGACGATGCTGTTTAAATAATTTGGTGAAATTTAAGATATTTCTGTTTCTGTCATAACTAGATATTTAATGAATATCGAAGAACTGCATGTATTGAAAATTCAATCGGCGCAATTCTTTTCGCTGTAATGCGTGGACGTGTAAGTGAAGGGTTAGATTTAGCTGATAATGCTGGTCGAGGTGTCGCTATACTTGGTATACCTTATGCACCAATCCATGATCCTAGAGTACTTCTAAAAATGTCTTATTTAGATGAACAATTTGTTAAATTGAAATCTAATTTAACAAATGATCAACAGCAAAAAACTCTGATTGATAAATATCCAACTGGTCGTCAGTGGTATAATTTACAAGCATGGCGTGCAATCAATCAAGCTGTAGGAAGGTAAATAATAAAAAAACACTGTTTTTATGACTATTTAATTAATCAATTTTCTTAAATATTTCGATATAATATGTAATTCTATTAGTAGTATAGTTTACAGATCTAAATAAATAAGTTGATAATACTAATTCAAGATATTTGTGAATTATACAATAACTCATCTTTTGAAGTTCAGAATTATTGCTTAAAAATTACATATGATTCTCTTTGTTCGATCAAAATCACTAATAAAAAGTCGTAAGATCCTATTTCGTTAACTACAGAAGGAGTTATTAGCCCGACTAGCATATTTAATAAGACTTTATTTTTAGTAACCATACAACTTTTTACTCGAGCTCAGGAATAATGTACTATGAGGTTATTGAACACGTTTAAGATTCTGTCGTTGATTTATCGATCAGATTATTATCTGCTTAAAGGAACTGAATCATAGACATACTCAAGGATGTCTAGTTTTAGTTATATCCATTGATATCATACTTAATTCTGTTAAGCTAGACATTGTTTAGTATTGCTTATTACTAAAACAACCTATGGAAGATATACATCAGTGTGTGGATTTATATTGACAAAAATTGCTTAACACATTTTTCGCCTGTTAATACGGACGTGTTAGGATGTCGTTTTTATGTTAAAATTGTTATTATTCCTTTATTTGTCATATGACTTGCTAATCGAACGTTGTATTCGGTTCCTAAGCTATTCTCGTAACCCCCAAGCTGGAACTGTAAAGCGACCTGAACACGAGAGAAAAGTGCAAAATACGCGAGAAGCACTTTACCCTAAAGGTCCGTTTTAGTACAGAAAATATATGTTTTTATAGTATTTTAGATGTCCTTGGGTTTCCCGAAAATTCTGGGATGTTACTAAACATAGTAGTAGTATAGTAATCAGCCAATCAAAAACTGTACATGTGATTTCTCACTTCCTTGATGTTTCTGGTTAAACTTCAAGTGAACGCTGATTGGATAAAATGCGTCTTAATGTTTTTTGAACCTTTCTTGTACTTTGCGAGAAGTTTTCTGAATCACCCCCAGAATTTGTTATTAATTATTCATGATGATCACACCCGATACTTTTGATGTGTTATTAGTCACTAAGATAATTCACTCTTTCTTTGCTTTACAATAGTGAAAAACATTCTTACATAACCCATTGTTTTTATGAATATATAACTGTTTTGCCCATAATTTGCGTTGTTTCTATACTGCTCATATTCCATTTTAAACAATACTGTTTTACAGATTTCAATAATTTTTTTTTGTTCATTTTAATCTATTTAAAATAGAGTAATTCGTCATTACAAAGATTATGGTATTATATATTTATGTGATGAACGTTTTGCATCGAATAATGCACAAATGAATTTAGCTGGTTGGATGCAAACAAAATGCAAAATATACAATAAGGTGGAATTACTTGTAAAAGATACATATGAATTCTTTTGTAATATGCGCAATAAAGTAAGTTACTTTCAATTGTTATTCATTGCTAGAAATGCTTTTCATTGAATGTATATTCACTTCAGTTTAAAGGTGTTAAATTCTTACCAATTCAACTTGTGTTTAGTCAATTTTGTTTTGAGCTCTATCGATTGAAAACATTAAGTCTTTCTTAATCATGGTGTAATGATTATACTTGTAAGTTGTTCAAACCAAGACATAGTTACTATTCCATAAATAATAATAAATTAGTTTGAATTTTTGGAAATATATAGCAATAGTAAATCTTATGTAATACGTTCCCTAATCTATCAAAAAGAAGATGTAAATGGATTCACTGTATATCTTTACTTCAATATGACTGATATTCTCTGTGTAAAAATGTTCACTATCAACTCACAAACTGTCCATTATCATATCTATTCCTCATTGTTCGTTTCTCTCCAAGTATGGTCTCAAGGAATGGGGACATAAAGTGACGTATTTTAATGTGAGGTTGTATAGTTCTTGGTTTCTATATTTCACATCAAAATGACTCTTACAGTCTAACATCCAAAAATACCTAAAATTATTATTATGACTATAATTCTTAGTATTAGAAGATTTCAATTCCGTAATCTGACGGTTAAGCACTCTCTTTGAGGTTTGAATATCCTAAGTTTTATCCCTTATGGGGTCCTGAGCTGCTCGGGAGTCTCATCCTCGGAAAAAAATTGCTGTGGGATATTTCCTGGACTCAAATGTTTGTCCAGATACAGTCAGCATGTGATTCCTAGAAATTACGCCCGTTACTCCTAGTGGGGTAACATAGTTCGCCTACTAGCATTCTCCATCGAACTCTGCCTTATTCATCCTATTCATGTCTACTTCCAATTGTTGATGCAGTGTGGTCTTTGGTCTTCCTCTTCTCTGTTCCCCTTCACGATTTCAAGTTAGCGCTTGCTTCGAGATGCAGTTTGATGATTTCCTCAATCTGTGTCCTATCCAACTCTTTTATGTCTTTTCCTAATTTCCTCTTCAGATGGAAGCTGGTTTCTTCTCTCCCATAGTAGGCTGTTGTTGATGATATCCGGCCAACGGACATTGAGTATCTCATGTAGACAATTGTTTATAAATACTTGTACGATTCTGATTATGGTTGTAGTAGTTCTCGAAGTTTCAGCTCCGTACAGTATAACTGTCTTGACGTTCGGATTGAGGATTCTGAACTTGATTTTGACTGACTGACAGTTGTTTTCAGTTCCATATGTTCTCCAACTTTATGAGTGGGGCCCTTGTCCTGCCAATCTTTACATTCACGTCCGCATCAGATCCTCTTTGTTCATCGATGATGCTACCCATATACGTGAACGTTTCCACCTCTTCTAGAACTTCTCCGTCAAGTGTGATTGGGTTGGTGTTCTCTGTGTTGCATTTGAGGATGTTGCTTTTTCTCTTGTGTATGTTGAGACCTACTGATGCATACAGAGGCTGCTGGTGCTGCTGCTTCTGCTTCACTGATTTTCTTGACCTGCATATGTTGATGTGTATGAGATAGAAGAGCCAGGTGGTGGGGAAGATTTGTAGCTCAGGTGGGTGATTTTGATGGAGTTTTGTTTCCTGAGCTGGATGGTTTAGTCATGGAGCTTTCACCGTTCAGAAGAAAACAAAACAAAACTCCATGAAAATAGAAAAGCCAGGTGATCTGCGAAGTCCAACTCGTCTAGTTGCCACTGAAATTAGTTCCCCCCCACCTTCCAGCCAAACAAGTTGGTGAAGCCTGATAGGCCTCTCTAGAGAGAAACAGGCCACATCGAAGCACGGCACAACTACCAGGGCTAGAATAGCTGCCCCGTGAGGAGCAACCTCGTACATTACATGTGCCACTTTTGTCAATTTTTTGTCGTTTTTTCATCCAAGAGTAATTGTGCTGCGTTTCTTTGTGGAGTTCGTAATCCATTTGAGGGTATCGGTCGAGTGGGTGATTAACTCGATCTCTACCACCCGGGTTACCACTCACGTTAGTTCATGAGTCATTCGTCCCATTATCCAGGAGGCACGACGCGGAGGTGCAAGTCAGATTTCGGACTTAGTAATCATATGAAATTATATCAACAAATAAAGTAGTGATCAAATTACTATTATTATTATTATTATTATTATTATTATTATTATTATTATTATTATTATTATTATTATTATTATTTAAGAAGCAAATGACTTTCTAGATCCTACAGTATATAATTCAACCAACGTGAAAAAATACGGTAATCAATGACCAAATAGTAACTAGCTCTATTTTATATATATCGCCTCATTCCAATAAACAGCTTAAATGACTTTTGACAAATTTTGAGACAACCAATGACCACATAGAATAACTTACGCGCCATCTTTGGTAAGACCTTCCGGAGGGACATTTAATTCATCAATTAATCTTTCTAATTCTATCAACTGTCCTAACATAAAATAGGTTAGTTATACAACAATGCGTACCACTAACCTTTTAATGTAATCATTTTTTTCAATGCTCAAAGCTTCAACTAGAAAACGAAATAATGTCAAGTTAAATATCATCTTTCAATAAACATAACATACTTGCATTTTCTTCAGGATGTGTCATATCAAACAACCCTTTTCTATTCGTTATAACTGAGAGTTTTTGTTCACTATTTTGATTCATGTTGCAGTTACTCTCTGAAAGTTCTATTTCTTGATGCTCCTTAGTATGATCAAATACAATTTCGCACACACATTTAACATGTTCAATAGCTGACGCTAATAAAGCAGAACTTAATGTCACTGATGAAGCATCTTCGCACACTTGCTCCTATCCAACAACAAGAATAGAGCGAAAGAAATGTTTACTGTTGTATTACATTAGCTTCGGTAACTGAACTAGTAAAATCAAAACTGAAAATATAATATGTATCTAAGCAAGTTTGCTATCAACTATAATATTCATAACACTGCATGATAAATCATTGGTAAAAACGAATTCCATCTAACTACATAGCCGCTTATTAATTGAAGTACTATAGGAAAATATTTCGTGAACATTCGCCTACATTGCAGATCAACGACCAAAAAGTCCATTAACTAATAATATAGTTTAGTATGATTATTTTTAAATATTCCGATGACCATCACAGAAGAGTAGAGAAGCCAGTGGCGAAATGTATCATAACCATCAAAATCAATGACCTCTTGGACTGATGCCATGTCTTGCTTCGAGCAACTCTGGCTTACTTTCAACCCGCTCCCACATAAGACATCGCCTACCTTGGTGAGCAGTGGTTGTGCATACTTAACACATGTCCAAACCACATCAGCAGATCAAGATTTACTGCCCCACCAGTCGATTTGTCACCTTTGTTCAATAACCTATCCCTAAACCAGACATCACTTACTCGATAATCCCTAAATACACGAGAGATTGTTCAAAGACACCTAACATCAAACACTAGAAGCCTGCGAATATCCTCCATTCTTAATACACAAGTTTCATACCCATACAGTAAAACGGAACAAAAAGATGCGCAGTAAACTTATCCTTTAGTTGCCAACGGATATCTCCTTTAAGTCACAAGTAACGCTAGTTGGTAAACATCCACCATACATAGGCCTGTTACAACTCATGGAGAAGCATAGTCCGCTCACCATCATCCTCCATAAAACTTTCTTGAGCAATCCTTTCCAGTAAATATTCATCCTATTCATGTCTACTTCCAATTGTTGATGCAGTGTGGTCTTTGGTCTTCCTCTTCTCTGTTCCCCTTCACGATTTCAAGTTAGCGCTTGCTTCGAGATGCAGTTTGATGATTTCCTCAATCTGTGTCCTATCCAACTCTTTTATGTCTTTTCCTAATTTCCTCTTCAGATGGAAGCTGGTTTCTTCTCTCCCATAGTAGGCTGTTGTTGATGATATCCGGCCAACGGACATTGAGTATCTCATGTAGACAATTGTTTATAAATACTTGTACGATTCTGATTATGGTTGTAGTAGTTCTCGAAGTTTCAGCTCCGTACAGTATAACTGTCTTGACGTTCGGATTGAGGATTCTGAACTTGATTTTGACTGACTGACAGTTGTTTTCAGTTCCATATGTTCTCCAACTTTATGAGTGGGGCCCTTGTCCTGCCAATCTTTACATTCACGTCCGCATCAGATCCTCTTTGTTCATCGATGATGCTACCCATATACGTGAACGTTTCCACCTCTTCTAGAACTTCTCCGTCAAGTGTGATTGGGTTGGTGTTCTCTGTGTTGCATTTGAGGATGTTGCTTTTTCTCTTGTGTATGTTGAGACCTACTGATGCATACAGAGGCTGCTGGTGCTGCTGCTTCTGCTTCACTGATTTTCTTGACCTGCATATGTTGATGTGTATGAGATAGAAGAGCCAGGTGGTGGGGAAGATTTGTAGCTCAGGTGGGTGATTTTGATGGAGTTTTGTTTCCTGAGCTGGATGGTTTAGTCATGGAGCTTTCATCGTTCAGAAGAAAACAAAACAAAACTCCATGAAAATAGAAAAGCCAGGTGATCTGCAAAGTCCAACTCGTCTAGTTGCATCCAAGCTATTCATTGTATTCCGTGCTTCCCCTCCGATGTCGAGGTTTTCGTAATCCAGTCAAACACTCGTAGAAAGAGAAAGGTGGAGAACAGACAGTCTTGTCTTACATCGGTCCTTACTGAGAATGCGTCTGTCAGCTGTTCTCCATGCATGACTTTGCAGTGTAGTCCGTCATATGAATTCAGGATGATGTTGACGATTTTCTCACATACCCATTACATAGTGTCAAAGAAGTTTTCATAATTTCCTCCTATTCGCACTGTCATATGCTTTCTCATAATCAAGGAAGTTGATGTATAGTGATGAGTTCTATTCAAATGATTGTTCAACGATGATCTTTCGTATCGCATCATAATTCGGTTTACAACAATCTTTTTACTATCAAATGAGTTAACATTTTGGCCCTGCTGATTGGGAACTAGATCTGATAACTACATATAAAGAAAATCTAATTTTCTCTCGTTGGCTTAATATTTTATGAATGAAAATTGTGGTACATTTAAAGTGGAAATAAAATATTATCATTGTTGTTAAAAGCAAATTAAAACTGAACAGCTATTTATATTCCCTTCTGTATTTCTATTTGGATTCAAACAAATTTAACTTATTTCTAGACAGACTATTGAGTTGTATAACTGTAACTTCTTTAATCTACTAAACTGAATAATACTGAATAATTTTACTAGTCTCCTAACGTCAGTAGTCAGTCTTTCCGAGTATGATGATATTTTTATAAAAGTTTTAATATAAAATCTTTCCCATCCAAATCATAAATTCAATATTACTCTCGACTGATATAATTTATTAGGATTATAAGAAAAATATCATTGTGTTCACTTCTCTCTATATATGGTTTCCTTTATTTACAGTATCCATCCATCGATCGACCTGTTGACACTACTTCAATTGTAAATAATATGTTAACTGAGAAAAGTTCACTGCGATCAATAAATCGAACACAACCATCTTTAGAAAGATCTAACTTGATATCAAATCTCCCTTCAGCTTTTGAAGTAATTCAATTCGTATTTAGTAATTTTTATAGCATACATCATTTTATGCTTAATATAACTATTTTGAAGAGAATTTTTCTGATATACTCACTGTATCATGAGTAGTTTAGAACTATAAAGAGCTTATTGATTACTTATTTATACTTTAATCCTCTAAGCTGTTTACTGTCTTGATCTAGTGTTTTATCAATAAGAAATATCGATTAACAGTGATCTTAACACAGAGGTACACTGTTTTAGTTTGCATTGCATCCAGTTTGTAAAGTCTTAGATCATAGGAGGAGACTGAAAATGTATCGTTTTCCTCCCCAGTTTCTTCTCACTTTGACGAAACTCTAGTCTGACGGCACCATAAATAGTCGACTAGTTCTGCCTCTACTTTCGCGCCTAATACTACGCCCATATCAGCCAAACTGGATGAGGTTGCAACAGAGTCCCCTTATAAACGCGCGTGAAACTAGCTTTACGACTCAACAGACGGAGAACGAGTCTTAATTGTCTCACTATTCTTAAATACGGGTCCTGTATTTAAAGCAAACGTTCTCAAAACTTACCAAAAATATAGCCAAACCTACCTTTCATCCGACCTGCATCAGTATGTGTATGTTGATTGAGCCTAGTTTGCAAGTCAATCTTCGTTCCAGAACGGCTGTTTCGAACTTCTACCATTCATTTACTTGCGATCATTTAGACGGAACAGAATTTTCTTCATAGACGAACTGCTGGGTAAGATGAGAAAGAAAAGAATGGTTGAAATGGAAATGAAGGCTAATAGATAACTAACGCAATATCAAATGAAGCCGAACATAACCAGGTAATTGTGAATATGGTTTGCCAGAATTCGGAGTACGAATACCCTGCATTTGTGGACAAAAATAAGAATAACTGGATTTGATAGCGAATAAACAGCTGTACATTAGTAGTATGTTCAAAATATACAGAATGAAAATAACTTCATTTTAGTATGTGGTTTAAAATATCATCGTCTTGATTGTCGAGTTTATCTTAAACACTTTCTGAGATAAAACTAAATTATCCGCGTCACTTAGCACTACTGATTGCATAAATTTATTCCTTCTTTTTGTATAGCCATTCAGTGGTTCTTTAAACTCTACTAGCACTCTTGGGTTTGTTTGATTACAGGTTTACTATTGATTATAATGTGTAGTACATAACCCAAGCACTTTAGTAGGTACATCATCACCTATTTACTTACCATTTTTAATTAGGCTTAAGACTGCTTACTTTGTACCTCGATTGCAGGTCTGTTTTAAGCGATAATATTTCGGCGATTTCATAATATCCTAATAATGCATGCAAATGACTTTGATTGTTGCCACAAACCATCCGGCAAGTTCACTGCTTCCCGTATTGTTGTGTTGAGATTTACATAATCTATTCTATAAACTCTCATACTATTTAATAGTTGAATTCATTAGTCATATTAGTCGTTTAAAGCTAGACCACTATGGAAAACCTGGACAGCCGTTTCGTTCTAGTATGGGGCTCCTCAAAAATGTACATTGACGACCCCGCTCGCGGGATTCGAACGCTTAACCTCTAGACCACTGAATTGGCATCCAACTGTGTTGATAGTTCGTAGTTGCGTACGTATATCGATATAAGTGATAATATCATTGTCTTTCTTCTTTTATGCACTGATATACATAAACACAATGTTGGTTACTTATTTCACTTCTCTCACTAACCCTTTAAATTAAGCTGAATATATTCAGTCCAAATGTGAATGATTCAGTTACTCTCATAACAAGTTATCATTCGGACCACTCACCGTGTTCATCAAAACTTCATGAATGTAATGTTGATTATAAAATAGATTCTATCTCGTCATCAGCATCCATATTTGATACGGTGTACATTGAATCAGAGAATATAGACCAGGTAAGCAATTTAACAATAAATGTATAGATTTCAGTCTTGGAATTTATGTTGATAGTTTCATTAATATTGGTTGAAAGGAAATTTTCCAGCATACTGACAGTTTCATGGAGCTTAGTTGTTGTACTAGCTGGTTTAATTTCTAGTCTAAACAAAAAACATCGTTGATATTTCATTTGTAGCTCTACCGATATATTCAGTTTCTCATCAATATTTAATAAAATGATGGAGTACTTTAAAAAAATAATTTCCTCTATTGTATTCTGTGGGTATGATCTTTCAACTAGGAGCGTCATTGTTCTGAACCATACCTTCTGAGGTTCGGTAGATTTTCACTTGTAGTTTTTACTTATAGTCTGCTACATGAAGCTGTTCGGAGTTGTTGATACTCAGAGCCATCGCTGTCTACAAATGGAAGGTAACGACTTCAATTCGACAAAATAAAAAATGAACATTCGTAAGTTTAAAATTTCAAAGTTAGATTAAATGTTTCATATAAGAGTATTGTAACATTTCAGCAGGTAAATTCATTCGGTATTTATTCTTTGTCATATCGATCTGTGGCATCTTTCCATGTGAACGTATAAAATTATAAAACCTGAGTCACTGGCCGTTGCTACTAAGCAGTGATTAATTTAGCGAGGTTTATGTGAAATCTTAAACAAAAATCATACTTAACAACTATAATTTATTTGATTTATCATTTATATGTTCGAAGATATAGTTGATTTCGCAATTTCTTTCAAGTTTCATTTCCTTTTTCTAATCGTGCGTTAACGTTTTTTCACTGTTTGAACATGTTTACTATATCTCAATAGTTGAAATCATGAGTCAATTGAAGCCAGACCACCATGGATGACGGCTCACTGGTCAAATGGTTGGGCGCTCGCACGCGAGACTGGGTTCGAATCTCGCGGGGGCGGGATCGTGGGTGCGCACTGCTGACGATTACCATACTAGGACGTAATGGCCGTTCAGTGCTTCCAGATTTTCCATGGTGGTCTAGCTTCAATTGACTCATGATTTCAACTATTGAAATTACTAAAATCTCCACAAAATCCCTTCTGATATTTATTATATATTTTATTATCTTTAAAGTTACTAATTAAACATTCTTGATGGTTTTATATTTATGTTCTCAGAATAAATATATATCAAATTCTAATTCATACTCTGGTGATCTATTAGAACAGAAGTTATTACAACGAAAACCATGTAAACGAATAAAACTTTTGGAACAGAAAAATAATTCTATAGAATTATCAGAAAATGTTTCATCTACAACTATTGTAAATAATGATAATTCTTTATCATCTAAATATATGACCTTGTTAAAATCTGTTCTTAAATCGAATGGAACCAATGAATCTGTTTATGCAAGTCGTCTAAATGATTTTAAACAAGTTATGAAAGAATATAGACAAGCTATAACACTAAATCAAAATACATTGATCAATCAGTCTAATCAACTGGTAGAACTATTATTCACTCAATTATCTAGAATATTTATACCATTAGAAGCACCTGGACTTTTACAAGGTAAGATATCCTATATATGAATAGATATCGTGTAGTCTATCTAAGACACCATAATAGTCAGTTTCTCTTAGCTCGTGTGGTGCTAAAAGTACTTGAGATCAGTCAAATATGAATGGGAAATATTTATCATTCTTGTTGTTTTGCATAGATTACTTCACTGAAGGTATTGATCATTCGTCTTTCCATTCCCTCAACTAATTTCAGACCATAAAAGCTGTTTTAAATTATTCAACATTTAGAAAGCCATCACATTCAGTTAGTCAAATGTAATGAACAGTTTGGTACGTATGTACATCAGTTCAAGTTGATATGCAACACTAGCACAGCGAGATGAAATTGTCAGACCAAATCTCAGAATAGAAGAGGTATTAACAGTATGAGTGGTAAGTGGAAAGATTACGCATCGAAGATACGATCCCAGAAGAGAATATAAGTTAGTGAAATACACACAAAAAACATTATGGAGAACTTAGAACATCAGGATTTGAGGGAAGACAAAAAAGCTAGTGCACCTGCGACATTTCAAGAGATTTTGACGACATCATTAAAAGTCTTTAACCACTAGTTACGACGATCACGCGGACCATAACCAGATAGTCTACACCTACCAACATGAACCAGTTCACCAGTCAATTACTTCATGGACTGATGCCATGTCTTGCTTCGAGCAACTCTAGCTTTCTTTCAACCTGCTCCCACATTAGACATCACCTACCTTGGTGAGCATTTTGTCAGCACCTTAACCAAACAGAACTATATCATCTTCGTATTCTAAGTTAACAAGTGAATCTCCTAGAAGAGCGATTTTCGAAAAGTCAGACGATGAAAGTGTTATCTTTAAAAGCATGTTTATGACAAGGTTGCATAAAGATGAGGAGAGCGAAAAACCCTGAGAAACACCACTTGAAGTAACCAGTTCCGATGACAGTTCGCCATAAACTCTGAATCGACCAGTACTGTTCAAGTAGGGAGTTTGTACAGAGTTAGCATGCTTCTTTGGCAAGCCTTTCAATGACAGACATTGCTACAAAAGCTGTCAATCCGTGAAGTCGTATACCGCATGAAGATCAAGGAATACAACTACTGTCGGAGGGTACGTCTATTTCCAAAATCTGCCGAGCAGTGAATATTTAGTCTACACATCCACGTTGAGGTTTGAAACCAGTCTTGTCTTATCAGGTTTGCTCTTAGTGAACCGCAACTTAGCGTCGGATTATTATTGAAACTAGTTTAGATATTATAGTAGTCAGATTGATTTCTCTGTGATTGTCGCAAGAACATTTTGTCGTTCCTCATAAACTAGGACGATTATTGAAAGAGACTAGTCAAATTGGATTACATCCAGTTTCCAGATTTTAGCTAAGATCTCAGTTAATTTAAGTGCTAGACCTAGAACATCAGCCTTAAAAACCTTAGGGGTGAGTCCATCGAATCCTGCTGCTCTCCATCGCTGTAGTTTCCTTATAGCATTTTCAGCCTCACTGAGAGTTGGAGAACATACATGAATTCATCAATCATGTAGTTTGGAGACAGTAAATAACTGAAGTTTTGGACTCAAAAACTGAGTACCACACTGCCGTGCATGGGTGACTTAGATGGTCTTATTTTAAAAAGACTGAAAATAAAAATTATTATATTTTTCACAGTCCAACTATTCACTGTCGAAAAGTCTGTGTTTATCTTTCACCGAAATCAAAACAGCATATTAACGATTGTTTCAAATCCCATTGAGTCTATCAATTTAAATATATATGCGGAAAGATATATTTAAGTAGGAGTGATCGTGATCTTCAAGTAGTGGTAGCTGAACATATATCTAAATAGCTACAAATAAGTGAATGTCATTGATCCAATAAGATCCCTCCATTGTGAATACATATGGTTTTGAACGCATATAGGTTTGGTATCAAGTTAGATGTTTTCCGTGGGTGTCTTGACAAGTATGTGATCAGATTTTTCGAAATGTATTGCGTGAATTTAGCATGTGATTTTGATAACCTTCGTCTTCTCATCAAAATTTATCAAAGCGACTAATTATTTTATACTTCTAAATGATATACAGAAATTAATATTGTTCTGATTGGGTTAATAAAACAATAAGTGTGTGCTAAACTACTTATATTGTCCATGTGAGATATTTTGCGTTTTAATATAAGAAATCATATCTCGAATTTTCAGTTCTTATTGTCTATAAGAAATCTACATCAATTCACTCACCATACACTTGGATATGAGCCAAATTCTAGGTATTAAGGTCAATAATATTCTCATTGTCTAAACCGTAATATAGATGGGGCGGAATTTTGAACCAGGGAGTTAGTGTTTGAAAGTCTGACTCCTTAATTACTATTTGTAGGCATTTCATAGAAATCCACAGGTTGCCTACAATGATGTTGAAACATTTGTGCACAAATTGTCAATTCTAACATGTATAGTAAATGTCTTTCAGAAAATATAACTTCTTGTCTTGAAAATATCGGTTTTATTAATAAACAATCTATTCTTTTGCAATATATTTGTACGTATCTGTATGTGTCTACTACATATGTTTATTATTAGATGCCATTTGTTTTATCTTACCGGAGCATCGTAAACGTTATGCTGAATTGTGTCATAATTTGACGGGGTTACCAATTATTCAATCAAATTCAATAAATAAGTCTGTAGATACTTCAAATCAAGGTATGTAATCGATTAAAATAAGCTTATATACGTTGTACTCAGATTATTATTTCATTGTTTTGCAAAAAACCACCCGAAAATTCGGTTTTTTCATCATCAGTCAATACGACTTGTAACATTGAATTATGGATGTTGCATTCTAACATATGAATTTCTAGCGCTGTTTTTCGATTTTTTTTCATGGAGTAAAACCAAGAAATGTTCTAGTAGTTAACCAAATCTGCATAGTCATCAAAAGCATGTCTGGTATTCCCTGTTTATTCTTTTGGGGTGATGTCAGAATGCTAATGATAATCATCATAGTTTTTAATATTCCCCTCAGTACTACTCTATAGTTGTGCAACGTCAATATTTCTTTGGAGAAATAACTAAATATCATTTACGAAGTAATACCCCAATACAGTGGAATCACTAAACGAGTTGCTTCAAATTCCAGATGTAAATGATTAATCCGGTTGTTGAGATACTAAACTCATATCAAATAAAGCGCTTTATTCATTTTTTTTTGTTACGTACACCTAAGTTAAAAAATATTCTTTGTCCATGGACTACTAAAAAACTTAAGTACGAAGAAATGTAGAAACTATATTTAATCTGTAATTGCTAAGAATCCTTTGCGTCAATAATAAGATAGATTTCAGCAAAATATGTTGTTTGACTTTTTTTTAAGTATTGCACTCCATATTTTTCCTAGTGTCCCGCAGCCTAGCAATTAATTCAAATCAGCCAGTGAAACTAGAGAATATACCTGAAGTCTCAATGAAATGTTGCAAATGCTCAGCTGATCCGGCACAAGTCCCAGTGATATCATGCTGTAAGCACATAGCTTGTTTTAAATGTTGGCGACATATCATCGACAAAGTAAGTACTATTTACTATATTTAAGTAATTTAGAATCTGAAACAATATTGCTCGATTATGTATATATACTGAGATTGACGTTTATTCCTAACTCCATCCTTAATTTGCGCTATTTGTTAGATTACCTATTAGTTCACTTTTTTTTCCAAACAAGCGTATTAACACCCATTCTTGTTTTGAATTTTAGGGTGATCATCAATGTCCTGTATGTAGAAAATTACTGAGACGACGTGACTTATCACGTCTGATACAAAAAAAGGATACGGAACAAAATTTTTAAATTTTATTATTCAAAAAACTGTGAATCCATAAGCTGAGGAATTGTGTTCGTTATTCTTATTTTTATACGAGAATAAAATAGATCAACCCTATACAATGTTTCTTAATAACAATGACAATTTTTCTTTATTTTGTCTTTTGCTCTTGATATTATGATCTCGGATCACAGGCTTAGTGTATTAGAATCAGATCAAAGCTTGTATAAGTAAACATCACAGAAACCTATTCCAGTCAGTCAGCTACAACGTAGGACCAGGCATATATGTGCATCGGTCCAGGTTGCCATACCGCATCAGCACAACAAGATGAACACCGGATTCATAGCAGTGGTTAGGTCAAAGGTAGTAATATATAAGAGAGCATTTTTAGGGTCGACCTTTTCTAACCCCACCCCTCCTTGTGGGAAGGCAGCATCGCTGTCATGCTGGTTGTCTGAAGGAAACACCTTACTGCTGTCACACCTCTGTACAGTCAGCAGTACGACTTCGCCTTCGGACCTTGGGTTTGTTGCTTTTAGTCTTACCGCTCTTCAACCGACCTGTCTGACATGGTAGGACCTTGAGGAACGGTTGTTCCAGCCAGTATAGCTCGGTTGCTTCATCACGATAGGCAAGCCCGACCACCACGTCAAGGTAGCAACAACGGTCGGGGAAACCTATTCCAGTAACTCATGAAATCATTTGAGAATACGGAAAAAATGCTCTTCAAAACTAAAAGTAAATTATAGTTCACTACATATGCTCTGAACAGTTGCAATGTATTTCGAGTCACTCTTTCAAAATGAGGGCTTTATGAAACACATGCGTATTGGCGAATCAGACAGTGCGACAATTCACAATCAATAAACATAACTGTCCTTGATATCCGAATAACCCTGGATTATGATTCGTAATAATCATTTACTATTGTATCCTAAGGTCATTTAGTAATCAAATACGAAAAGGGTCTAGACTGGTTGTCTTCTTACTTAACATCAGTCAATCAGCTTCCACATGACTAGACCGTTCTCTTTTAAATTCATATGATCAAACCATGTTGATCTGATGAACGCTACAGGATCACGAATTGTATATGTATAATATAAGCACTACCTTACTTTTAGCTACGGTACATAAATAAGTGGGATATCCTAGTTAAACCCACAATAATTAGTCCAAATGATATACACTGAGATACAACCTAAAATATCCGCTAACTAACCACTTGATTCAAAAACTTCCAAACAAGTTTACAACGATGTTCTTTTATGTGACCCAGTTAAACAATGATGCATGAATACCTCCGAGTTTTTTTATAAACTGATGAATTAATGAGCACGGAAGAAAAATGTTTTGTCCTTCTAAGTGATCTCAATTCAAAATATAATAGGAAGAAATATCTAAGTGAAATGTGTTGGATATTCTGTTGTTAACTCGTTAAAACAGAATCTCCAAGTTCATGTACAGATACGATAATGACCTTCCCGTCTCATACATTCCCAATGAGGAGTTGTAAATACAAGATTGCACTAACCCTTCTATAATCCAGAACAGAAAATTTATCGTATTTTGTCCATTTATATACAAATATCACATCAATACGTCTAATAGGAAATCAATGTTTTTGGCATGTAGTTATTCTTGAACTTGATCGACGGTTTTTTTGACGATTGTTTGGGGATTGACTTAAGGTTGAGTAGTTAGATTTGCTTGCTTTTGGTTTAACAACTTTCTCATTTTTCTCACCATTATTAACATCACAATCATTCCCAACGGTTCCCAATTGTTCAGTAACATCCGGAAACAGACTTGTATTGACAGACGTTGAAGATATCTTGACGTTAAAAAAACAGATTAATATATACACTGGACAGAAATTGAAATTGAATAGATTTTATTTTTATTTATTTGAATACATAAATATTAGTACAATGGGGCACCGAATACATATGCGCCACATAAATCACTTGATTTGCATTTGTGCTGTGATACTGCCCGGGTGCCCAGACCGAAACAGGTGGTCTTCTTAGGGGACAGCACCCGGAGCCTTTGACGCGAAGGTCCGATTCACAAGGCAGTGAAGCAACGTCAGGAGATGCGATCCCATGATAGCCGGTGACCAATAATTGGTTAACACGCCATTTGTTTCTTCATGATCCTGGAGCCCATGTACACCACTGGTTTGGAATCAGGGTTTTTCAACCCTCTAGGTGAACCTCTCGTGTCCACCAACCCGGTTAAAGCGCTGGGCGTTCGCTTTTCGTCCTCTCAATTTCGTAAACAACACCCTCGCCGCGAGAAGGCAGTGAGTAGGACTTCCCTGGCAGAGGCTATATACGCGTGGCCATGTGAGAGCATTTCGAGAGAGAGAACTGACTCTCCTCACCCTCGACCGTACGAGGGCATTTGGAGGCTTAATAGATTAGTGGATATACTCCAAGGAATTTGATACAAAGTTCAATGAATAACGTTAGTGAGATCCAATAACCAAGTACAGGTTTGTGTAGTTTCGAGCCACATTCGGACGTTTGGAAAGAGGTAGGAAAAGAGAAGGTTGGGGTTGAAAATCGAGTGCACGACCAACTAAACCAAGTCTTCAGTTAACCAGCATGAGTTTATCCGAATTCAGTTTCAAGCGTACTAATAGCCCTAATGAGAATTATACGTTTATAAAGGCGCCTTACTACTTATTGAAGCCCATCAGTCTACTCCGGATGACCGTGCGCTTGATCATAAATGACGACTGTTACGTAATGAAATTGAGCAAAGCTTGCGCAACGACCCAGAACCCTAGTGGTAGGAGCCAATAGTTGGAAGCAACAGCTGTATCTGGTAACTGCCGGGAGCTCTTCCAACTCATCCAAGTCACAGGCAGCAAGAAGTCTGGTGTGAGCGAAACAATCTGTGACGATGACAAGATGTCAGTCATTAACATCTATCGACGTCTTGGACGGGAAGCTCAACTGGTTTACTGCCCCATCAACATCAATCAGACGGTACTGCCCTCCATTTTCTGTGACGACTGACTCACCCAATGAGGCGGAAGTCCGCAAAGAACTCCAACTATTGAAGCGCCATGAATCAACAAACCAAAACGACTAACCGCTGGCCCATTTTAGAAATGGTGGCGAACTTCTGTTCAAGGAACTCATTGAGTTATTAACAAAGGTCTGGCAGTTAGAGAGTTTCGCAACGTCGATGGATCATTCGATAGTTGTTACTATACTCAAAAAGGGTTCACGTCGTTCCTGTAACAACTATCGGGGGATAAGTCTACTTCCGATTGTGTCCAAGCTATTGGCTTCCGTCATACTTCGTAGGTTGTTCAAAACCCGAGAAAGATTGACTCGCGAGAAGCATGCTGGTTTTCGTTCTGGTTGAGGATGTATTGATCATATCTTCACCCTCCTCCAAATGCTAGAACACCGCCATACTTATCAAAGTCCAACAATTGTAGTGTTTCTTGACATCAGGGCTGCCTTCGATTCGTTGGATAGGACAGTTCTCTGGAATTGTCTATTGAAGAAGGGTGTGTCTGAGAAGTTTATTAACATTTTATAAACCCTATATACAAACACCTCAGGCAGAGTGAGGGCATACAACCACCTCTCTCCATTGTTCCATTCGAGCAGTGGGGTTAGGCAGGGTTGCCCAATCTCACCATTCCTCTTCAACTTTGCCATCGATGACATTCTGGAAACAGCTCTGATGGATGTAAGTAATAGTGGTGTGGATCTGTTGCCTGGAGAAAGACTTCTCGACATTGAGTATGCGGATGATATTGTCTTACAGTGTTATAATGCCCAAGGCATGCATGGTATGGTATATGCTTTGCACATTCCAAGTGCAAATACTTTTAGGAGACTGGCAGAACCCTGATCCTGCACTCACACTGGATGGTGAGCAGATAGAAATAGTCGGGAAGTTCGTGTCTCTGGGTAGCTACATAAGTGCTGGTGATGGCGTGAGCGATCAGATCAATTCACAAATAGTGAAAGCCAGACAGGCTTATGCCAATCTGAGCCACCTTTGACGCCTTCGTGATGTTAGTCTGGCAGTAAAAGGTTGGATCTACAATGCGTCGGTGAGAGCAGTTTTGCTCTAAGCTTGTGAAACCTGGCCTCTCCTGGTTAACGATGTTAGACGACTCTGTGTTTGATCATCGTTGTCTCCTAAGTATTGCTGACATCCAGTAGCAACACCATATTAGTAATGCACAAGTTCGGCATCGTGTGTCGGGCACAGCGACGATAATTTAATTGGTGTCACTAACTTGAAATATGGACTTCGGTGGTTTGCACATGTTCTACGAATGTGGTCCTAAAGAACTCCACATCGTGCATTATTTGCCGACGCTGGAACAGGTTGGAAGAAGCGGAGAGGTGGTCAGTGTATGCATTGCGTCATGTTATGAAAGTTGTACATGACTGGCTTCTGTTGGTCCTTCACGACTCCCTGGTTAAGGGTCGTAGAGGAAACTGTATCGGGCATGACTCATAAGAGAAGTCAACGGCAGTCCTACTGCAACTTTTTTTTACTTTCTTCATAAAAAGAAAAATGAACGTAACTTCTTTAAATAGAAGGATTCTTTTTGGTTGTATTTTCCCTAACTGTACTGCTCTTCTCCTTATTACCATCATTATTATTATCATTTCATTCTCACGCACTAATTTATGTTTATTGTTGTTCTTTTTTATTATATGCACTTAGCATTCTCTATCTCTTCAAACCTCATTGTTGTTGTGTGGCTCATATGTATTTGGTACCCCTTTGTACACATGTCTGTGTTCAAATAAATAAGTTGCAGAATAAAAATGATTGGACTTACTTCGGTTGATACAGACAAATCGTCCTCAGAATCTTTTATTTCAGGATAAATAAATTTGTCCGAATCACTTTCAGTTTCAGAAGAAATTATTTCATCTCCCCAGTCATCATTTATACTATTAAGAAACTGTTCTGCATCAGGTGACAGAGGTTCATTGACATCAAATACACCGGCATCAGATTCTTCAACCGATTGATACAACGATTCCTGTTCATACTCTGAGTCATCTTTCATCAAAGATGACATTGTATCCACATCCAAATATTCATCATTCAGGATATCAAGATTTTCTTCATTGTTTTCGGAACTATATAAATTTAATGGAGCATTAGATTTTCCGGTAGGATTGCTTTCATCTAAGGAGTGAGATAGAAAATCAAACTATTTCATGTCACACATTATAAATAGCCACAACTAATGAAGATAAACAATGAGAAAAGTTTTTACGCCATTTGACCTATTAAGATTACTACAGGAAGTTTACGTAATAGATTTTAAGCTTGTTGCTTAGTATCCAAATAGTTCTAAAGCTGGTCTGGCTGTATATAAATCATTTTATTGTTAAGGAATATCTAAACACGAAACTGAGCATTTTAACGCCATTCTTCAGGAAACAGAGTACCTTATTTTTCAAATGTTATTCTCTTTAAAAGGAATATGCAAAACGATGTCCTTTATCCAGTGAGTATGCACCAGTTATCATTCACAAAACTGTCTGATAAAATGTTTACTTCTGAAAACTTTAGGTGTTCGCGTTTATATTTTTTGAGAGCGATGTCTTGACTAATTTTCAAAACAATGACAAACTAAGGTACTAAACAATCCTTCAACTTTTCACTTTGAAATGAGAGATAAAACAAAAAACTTGATAGTTTTGAAAAAATATGGTTAAAATTCATTAATATTAGAATTCAAGCGGTGTACATTACTGTTAGTGCGTGGCGAAAGGAAAGTACTGAGTTAACCATCAACAAACAAAGTCAAAAATTTACAAAATGAAGGTATGCTCACCTTAACTGATTGTATGCACATGCTTTATGTAGGTGATACAACAGTCTAACATTTAAATTATCTAGACCCGTCGGATTTTGTTAACATCATCGATAACGTTAAGTAATAAAATAATTTCTAATTGTCCATTTTACCAGAAGCATTCTGTACTTATGTAAATACGTTTTCACCAAGGAATAATGAACTAGTAGTTAGTCCCTGTCTTCTTAGATCCAACCGATAAAAAAATAAATTATTGCGACGACCTATTATTCGCCATAAATTCTCGTTAATAGCAGTATATACATGAATAAGATCAAGTGTTGAACTACTTAACAAAAAAGATTTCTTAATCGGAGGTTGAAGTCTTTACTTAATATCATAGCTATCTGCTTGAGTATTAGAATCCTATTAGGATTCATCTTTACTCATACAACGAAATTCCCTAATGCAGTATGGTAACGTTAACTGATGTATGCATGTATATGGTTTCAGGCTGCGTTGGACTAACTGACTTATTACTATACTTTACTCAGTCACCGTACAGAAATTCTGAAATTTCGAATAAAATTTCATTGTTCATTTTTGTACTGATTGTTTGAATCTTCCCATTGACGCTTAGGATTGCAATTAATCAGTCTCTTATTAGCATAATTACATCCTATGCAGATTGCTTCGATATTGTCTTAAGTCAAAAGCATTATAAGCAGAGATGGATAGAGGATAGAAGTGGAGTTCAGAAGCTAAATGGATAAGGCGATAGCGTTTGAGGCACTGGGTTCAAGTCCCGGAGTGAACATCAATTGTGGGTTGCACGTACATCCAGCTAGCGGGTTCCAAATGAGAAGAAATGCAAATCCTGCTGGCTAACATTCATCTCTGCTTAAAATTTCATAGTATTGCTAAACTATGTACTTATTTGTGTAATGTATTGAGAATACGAAGATAATCAGAATTATGTGACTTACTAGCACAATGCGTTTTGAACTATTTGATCATACATATATGAAAAATAAAAGACCGATTAGACGAATCGGAGGTACTAGGAAACAGAGATAGAGGAGGAACAATACGAAACTCACCATCCTGGAAAATATTTCATTATCACCAGGGTAGGTTTAAGTTGGGAACACTGCTTTTGTAAATATAAAGGGGGTTTAGTCAAGACTTCAATAAGCCTTAACCTAAATTCTAAACAATTTTTGCACAAAACCAAACAGTTTGAGGTTAGACCAACTTTATGACACGTCTCAACTATGTCTAGTAATAAAGGACGACAAATGTCTATCATCTACTCTTATCATTTCATGTGATTTGACTTTATTCTGTAGCCTTTTTGGTACGTTTTCAGAGACCCTACTTTGGTAAATCACAATTACTACTCGTATTCATGTGGCCACACACGTAAGTAGAATGATAAATACAGTGAGATTTGACCTGATCTGTATAGATTTTTGGTGAAGTATGAACCCTGCTTTTTGAGTGATAATGACTTTTACTACATACTATGTCTCACAAAGACATGAAATGGGGTCTTTGTCTTAACACAAGGCACATATATGCGTCGGTCCAAGTTGCTATACCGCATAGCACAAGATGAACAACCAATTAGTAGAAGTAAGTTACTTCGATGGTAGTAATATGTAAAAGAAAGGTTGCATATAAGGATACAATATATGGAGAAAGAATTAGTTCGTAGAAAATGTGTAAAGTAATTTCAATCTCACAATTAAAGGGAAGACGAAGAGTGAATATACCGACGCCATTGTGATCGATTCTGAGCCATGTCACCCAGAGTCTAACCATTGGTTACGATAGCCGCGCGGACCCCAACCAAGTAGCATGCATCTACCAACATAGCTCAAACCAGAAGTTAGTGACTTTATGGATTGATGCCACGTTTTGCTTCAATCGCCCGTAACTTTCTCCCATCCGTCTCCAACATTAATCAGCATTGCTCGTAGTGGTAATCGGTGTTCAGGCATGCGTAACACGTGGCCCAACCATCTCAGTTGACGTAGATTTACAACCTCATCAACTGATTTATGATCATTCCCCAATTACTTGCGTCTAACCTCGCCATTACTCACCCGGTGATCCCAACAGATACGAGCAACATTTTAAAAACATGTGCGATCAAATACTAGTAACCTACGAGTATCCTCTACCATTAATGGCCACGTTTCTTAGCTGTTAATTAAAGCAGAACGAACTGCTGAGTAGTATACATAAACCTTAACTGATAGACGGATGACGTAAATTGGCAAAAGCGAAATGAGCCTTTTGAATCCGCGCAGAAATTTCATCAGACACCAACCTATTAGGGCTGACCAGACCTTCCAAGATAAGTGGAATTGTCAACGCGTTCGACTACGTCACTGACTGTCCTTAGTTCATGTGCTGACGCAGGCCAGTCCTGAAGCAACAATTTACACTTAGAGGGGGAGAAACGCACCTCAGAAATCTTGGCATTGTTGCTCAGTGCCACCAAAAGACTGCATTTTACCAGCGTCTTTACTAACACAGAACTAGGTCCTGAAGATTCAGACGATGAGAACGTTATTATCAGCAGTAGGTCTTTGATGACATTAAACAAAAACGAAGATGGTGGACAGCCTTGCCGGACATCAATTAAGGATGCAAAATCAGATGAAATTTGGTCATAAGCAACGTTAGAGTAAAGAGTCCTCATACGGTTTATGTACTTTTGAGGTACTGAGAGCATATAGGAGTGCCGTCTTTTTCCGAGATAATCTCACACTCGACTTCTTAATTCTGGTTTCTTTTATCAGTCTGAAAAACTATCTTGTGTTAACTACAGTCGCTGCCTTTTCCATTTCTTTTGCTTTTGTTGCCTACCATTGCTTACGATCGTTCCGTCGACTTTTGGTTAACCTAGATCTGACATGTTTTTGCTTGCCATCATGTTCGGAACCTGATAAAAAGTTTAAGACTATTAGTCTTACCTCTGAATGGTAGAGTGATGTGAAAGGGCCTATTTGGTGCTTGAAGTTTAATATGTTTCACCATACTGTGATACAAATAAACAAACCCTCCATTTGCATTAAACTACGCAATAATTCACTATTGTATAAAGAAATCTAGCACCGATACAACGTCTAAAGTCTCATCACTTTAGTACTTACCATCAATGTATATAAACTTTGTTTTAGGTAGAACCGGATAATAAAATCTACGAGGGAAGTGACTAATAAACTTTTGAACATTTGACCAATTTTCCATGGCACTACCACGGTTAGCAGCTCTTAAAAACATATTCCCCATCCCACACATTTCGTAGTAATATGAACACAAATTCTTTAAGACCTTCTGAATTTCTGGTGTTTGCATAGAAGTTGAATGGTGTTGTAGACAATAATCTAACCAAACAAGCACTTGTTGAACAACATGTGGATGATGATTTCCAGATACAACGAGGTTTGTTAAAACTTCAATAAATCTAAATAAATGAATGTGACTTTGTACAAGCTTCTCAACTTGAGTTTTGATCCATTCCTGACTTGTTTTCTGTACAAAAAGCTAGATTTTAATAAACAACTAGGTTAGATAAAATAATATTTGAAGCCATACTTTATTGAAATTTTTAGAGCTGACAAGGAGTCCATCCAGGTCATTTAAAAAATCAGTACGCTTTTGTATCTACAATGGAAAATAACACTAAAAAAGTTTCTACAAACCTTTGGCTTCGATTCCAACTGTACATCTTTTTGTCGCTTCATCTAGGAAAAGTCATTGACAAAGATCATATTAGGGTTAAAACGTAATTAAATATGTAGTCATTCAAAAGTTTTGTTTCATGTTTTTGATTGTAAGTACAAGTGTATAAAGCAATTAGTCCCTTAGATAAATTTCAATAATGTAATAAGACGAAGATTATCAGAACTATGTGATATTTTAGCGCAATACATTTCGAACAATCTGATCACACATATACTTGTCAAGTGTATAATGTTTTAATACAACATTCTATAAATACTCAATAACAACATAGAAGGAAAAGACACCTGAATTATTAGTTCTGTAAACGAAAATGAGACGTTTAAAAATCTAAAGTAGCAAAGTTCATTTTAAGAGTGGAATATCGATACACAACATATGAAATATGAACTAAGCTATCTAGCAGATAAATATCCATATTTACCCATTCAATTCAGTCAATTAGTTGCTTCATGTTTCTGGTGAAGAGTTTATAATCTTTAAGTACAACAGCCATATTAAACGAGATCCCACCGACAATGTGTCATGGTTACTCTGAACAACCCTTTCAGCCTCGTCTCTGAAAACAACATTTATGAAAATTAAGTGATTACTTGCAACTTCAAAACCAATGACTATCTCTCACAGGTTTGCAACTAAACTGCCTACGTGAACTGAATCTGGTTAGTAGGAAAATAGGGGTAAATGATTATGTGTAATGAATGAGTCAGGTAGGATTATGACTTGAGCAGTATAACCACTCTTCATAATGTAACCCAGAAATGAATGGGTAAACATGAACTTAGTAGAGAAGTTACACTACTTATTTAGACATTTTGTGAAGGCAATATTTTATACAGATATGAGAAATGCAAGACCTGGGAAAGTATATATTAGTCCAATATGTTACCTAGGAACTTTAATTAAACTAGGCTGAACAGAAGATTTTGTCCACAATATTCAGAACTAATCCAAGCCCCAATGAAAGCAGTGTAGTTAGTACTATATACATAACTATCCCGAGCATAGTGACACTTTTAAATGTTAAACCTGATAAATTATTGCCAAATGATTTGCACACTTCCTACTTATTGAAAGCGACCTTATATACTAAGCAGAAAACCGAGTATTACGAAAACAATATCGAGAAAGAAACAGTCACTATTCATAATGAGACACGTTTGGAACCAGAGCCTTTCCAAGTTTCAACCTACCGGACATTCTGTGACAAACGCTGGTGCCACGCCGTCTCAGTGATGTGACTGTGTAGTGTTTAGACTCCTACCTATGTAGAAAATATGGATGAGGGTCTTAGTACGTACTGAGATCGGGCAGTACTGCCTGATCTTATCAATTTATATCCATCACCCAAGCTCTTAACATTGGGACAAAGGTGATCAATCGAACTACTCAGTGTTGATTAGTTCGTCCATTTTTCAAACTTAGCTTTCTGGGGAATGAAAAGGTGTAGCCGTAAAATGTGGAATGAGACATTGTGTCTAACTGCCGAGATATCGGCCTAACTAGCATAGCAGTTAAGATATTTAATATAATTCTCGGTTACTTAGTCTTGAAGAATCACGCAATCTGCTAACTCCTGGACAGTACAGCGTTCGGAGCCGATATTGATGTCTAACTTGCCAATTTTGAAACGAAATTAGACAGCACCCTAAGATTTAGTTAGTCTACCGATGTGACAGACGTCAGAAAAGCACCTTGAAAAATGTCTTACTTAGGGTTTATACAGATCTCCAGATTGAAATCAAAGGAACCAAACAATAGTGAGTACAACAATTTGTCTGTGGAAAAGAATGAAGAAAACGTTAGTCGACGACCCAGAAAGCGGACATAATGAAGGGACCGCAGAAAAAAGTCAGGCTCACTCGAAGTCGCCCGCCGTTCGTGTACGACAACCTTGAATGGCCTGGCATGAGGCGGTCATTCTAGTCTTCAGTCTTCAGTACTAAGGATAGTAGCTTATTGACCCTGTGTTAATCCTGAAAGATTGCATTCCAGTGAAGGTTTAGCTTCTCCTTGAAAATGCTGACTGATTAAGCCGATACAACTTGTTCGTTCAAGGCGTTACAGTCATTGACCACTCGATGAGAAAAACGGGATCCCACTTTAAGTTTGTTAGATCGGGGTTTATGAACCTTTTTTATATGACATTAGAGACTATTAGTGCTGGAGAGAGCAAAAAGACAAGACATATTAACACCCAAATCATAGTTAAAGATACGAAATGCCAGTATAAGGTCACCTCGCGTCCTACGATAAGTCAAGGAGTTTTAAGCGCTCATCATAAAAGGGTTTGGAAAGAGCCTTCACTACTTTTGTTCCCACACGCTGAATACACTCAAATGAGTTTGTATCTTTATCAGAAATGGGCTAGCTAATTGAATACAGCACTCTAAGTGTTGTCTTACATATGTGGGATATTAAATTCTAAACATTTCCTCGCCAAAGCATTTGAATGCTCGGCGAAGTGAATATTACGCGCGAAAACCTTTGATAACAGCTGTGTTGCAATGCGTAGTTGTTTTCGAGTCATGACTTATTAATACTCCTAAGTCTTCATGTTCTTGAACGCGTGGAAGAGATGTACCATCAATAGTATAATTGTGACTATTACCGAGTCCGATGTGCATGAGCGCACTCTTCCTAGAATTAACTTCAAAGTCCCAACCTCGTGCCCATCTAACTAATTCACCTAAGCCAGCTTGGAGATCCAAATGATCAGCCTCAATTCTTATAGTTCTCCAGATTTTCACAACATCCGAATACAATAAAGTTGACGACTTAAGCAATATCTGTAATTCATTGACGTAGAGAGGGAAAAGAGGAGGCCTAAGATGGTGCCTCGATGTACACCATTTTTGACCGGCTTCCAATCTGATGGCGTTCTACTGACCCTCACTCTCAGTCTGCGGTCATAGAATAAGTTTCCTATCCACTCCTGTACAGCGTATATTATTCCGAAGCTCGAGAGCTTCTGCATAAGACCTACGTTTGAAACCTTGTCAAATGCTTTGCTAAAACCTGTGAATATCATATCGGCAGACAGACCGTTATCTGAGGCTGCTGTCCTCTCTCACATTAAGTAAGTTGGTCAAGCATGAACACATGTTACGAAACCTATCTTGCTCAGGAGTTAGCATATTGTGCGAATCTCTGTGGTTTAGTAACTTAACCCGAATTGTCTTTTCAAGTAACTTAACGACTATGTTAATTAGACTGACAGGCCAGTGGTTAGATACGATCTGCCTCTGACCGTCCTTAAACATAGGGGTGACTATTGTGTCTTTCTAATCTTTAGGGGGTTCAGCGAGTGGAAAGGACATGTTGAGGAGCGATGCGAGCTGTCTTGAAATAATCTCCACAAGAGATAACAGCAGTCATGGATGTAACCCGTCAGGGCCCAGTATCTCACAAGTTCTGAGGTTAGTTATCTGTCGAAGTGTCCTCAGTCACATGTAAAAATCCAATGGCTGGAATCTTGGCGTTATTGGGACAAGTATTTGTAAAAATACGCGTAGATTAGACTTCGCTAAAATAGTTTGAAAACGTTCCAGCCTTTGCCCGACCTGACTCAGCTAGTAAATCTGAATTTTCATGTAACAGTAATGAAGGAGTACCATCATTACTTTTTATTCACCGTTTAACATACGAAAACAATATCTTCGTACAAGTATGTCTGTCATATGCCAACTGTCGTTCGTAAGTAGTACGGGATTTAGCGATGGTCTTTTTGTATATATTCCGGAGTCGTTGATATACATACTTAAATGATGCATGTCCTGGTGACATGTATAAGTCCCAGAAGTGTTTCCTACGCTTCAACATATTCCAGGATTCCTTATTAATCGATGGTGGGCAATGTGAAAACTTATGTATTGAACATGGGGTATTATCATTGTTATTCACAAACATCTTACTGGTACATAAGTGTTGTGAAGAAACGATTTCGGGTTTTTTCAAAAATGCAATCATTCACAAGTTTCAATAATTTTAGCATTACATTTGAAAAAGAGAGTAATAATAATAGAATGATACTAAGAAATTGAGAATATTGGATTGATTTTAAAGAAGGAAAGAGAGAAAATAAGGCAATAGAAATAAAGGAGATGTGAAAAACGCAAATAGTTTAATAGGCGTGTCTATGAACACAGAACAAGAATAAACGACTATGTATGTATTGTCAAATTAGTAACAAAAATAAAACAGAAAATAATCAAGAAAAAAGCTTATTTTTGTAGTAAGATATGACGCCAGAATATACGTTTGTACTGTCATAGTTTGGAGTGATGCTATGAAAGTCTCAATTAAGTGAAAGGGATCATGAAATATCAATATGTATGGGTCATATATGCATAGTGAAGATAAAACAAGTTTGAGAAGTTAATTTAAGTGTAACACAAGTAAACGGGGATGTTATGAACTCGAATGTGGCCGTAAAATTACTCTGTTCGTCTTCGATCGATCCATTCACCTTGACCGACCAGCCAGTTGACATAGCACAGTCTCTGCTTGCCCTAGTATTAGCTCGCCAGATATTGGAACGGGATGGAGCAGATACAAATGGTATACCATGTGTCCCAAATTTAAAGTGAAGTACAACGTGATCACTGTTCACTAGTGGGGAAGTTGCTGAATGTCGATCTCATCCTCAAAGTGGTGTGTGAGTATAATGTACAGTAATGATGGATCAACATGTGTCGGTGTTGCAATACCTTGTACAAGTGCACACTGAACAATGGTTGATAGAATGTCGCTATCGAAACCGCCACATGGAGCTGTGAGCTCTATTCAGTCGACATGCGCTGCGTTGAAGTCTCCGATGATGAGATAACATTCCGCCTTACAGATGTGTCTAAAGATACAGTCGTCAGCAAGACAATACGGACTACGGTTTATTCCTTCTATAGCCACAACCCGTTTCTGGACTTGATTAGGTAACATGCTACCTCATATGAACCACTAACATGCGCGCAAGATTTGACTGATTGTATACGAAAGTGATCATTACCGTATAAAATTATGCCTACTCTCATGAGACTTGAAGGCCTATCATTTCTAATACAGATGCAACCTGCAATGGTGATAGAACAGTCTATATAACGGTGAGCCATGTTTCTGTGACGAATTAATTTATCCACCATCAAACTTATCTCGGACTTTTTATTTCGAAGACTGCAGGCGTTCGTGTAGCACACTTTTAAGGTGCGTTAGGAATCATTCGTTCTACCCATACAGGTGTCGGAAGCGTTGTCCTCCAATACCTGACTACCTGAAGACCCTTAATCGTAAGGTTAGTTTCGCCATTTAACTTTCGAGTTCTTAACTCGGTAAGAGCATTCTTCCACTTGATTAGGTTCTAGAGCGTCCAATATGATCGGATACGAATATTTGACTCGCGATTTTTGTGTGCGTTATTCAATATTATGTCGCTTCCCTCAAAATTCCAGAGTACCAACTTCAAGATCCTTCTTGGTTGGGTCTCGCCTCCAACCCATTTACCGAATCGTGTTGCTTTCGTGATATGTACCCCAAAACATCTTCAGGCAGTGCATTTCTGATTACAGATTCCATTAACTGCAGATCGTGTTCATGTCTTTTAGCGGGGTCATTGTCTTTTGACTTTTCTAGATTCCAGCTAAGGGGGGGGGGTAAATTCTTTTGAAATCGTGTTCACGGCTTTCGACCGTGATGTCAGATTTCGCATATTGACTCCTGGTACTGTGCCGTTAGTTGTCTTTGTAACAGTCATAGAGGTCGAGGGAATGACTGACAACAATGTTTGGTGAGGTCTTACTCTAGGACTTTGGCGTAGTAGTTTTGGCTATCTTTCCCACTCTTCTACGTCTCCGCGTCACCAATTATCCATCAGTCGCATTATCTACATTGGAAATACACGGGACGTTAATGGTTTTATCAGGATCGTCAGCCGCTGCTCTAGCAACTTGCCCACCAATAACCTGTTACAGGAGAACTGAAGACATTTGTCTGATTAAAACGTTTTTGTATATTAATAATTTTACTGTTTTTGGGTGTATTTGTTCTACTTAACTTTTGAACTTGTTTGTTTATATCATCAATTTCGAACATTTTGGTTTCTTTTGGTTATTGGTTTGGATTTTGGGAGTTTTTGCTCCGGAAACCTACAAAATTGAAGAGAGACATTTGGGTCGACTATTTGTAAATCGCGAATACATCCTGGCGTTTAATTGGAATTCGGTTCTATTGTTAATTTGGGTTCCTGAATTGCAAATAAGGAACGAGCAAAAACTGGGACGTGAAAATATAGTTTCGGGGTAGAAAGCTCGATTACGTGTTTCACAATTGGGTACCTGGCAGGTGCCGTGACAGCACTTGCGACAATGACGCAATCTTCGCCATCAACACCAGCGCAACCAGCATTTTTATTCTTACAGGTCAATGCAAATAGGTTCACAGCCTCCTGGAGTAGTAACGTTTTATTTGTACAGCAAATCATGCAAATCCAATGCGGTTATGTTTCGAGCATCTTTTGTATACGGTAAAACTTAAACGGGTACACACCTTATTAAACCACTTATTACACTCATCGAAGTGTATACATTCACCCACAGGGGGAAAACAGTTTGGCTGTCAACATTTATAAGTACAACTAACCAGCGTTTTAAAATCAAGGTTTAAAACGCAATATGATCACAATAAGAACACAGGTGCCAGTCAATGAGAAAGAAATTACCACAAGACAATATTTACTCAGATTTCAAACCTTAACGGAAATACTTCAAGTTAAATTGGACCAAGAGTGCTTTTGATGTAACAACTACATAAAAGCAAGGATAAACACAAATACAAAATCACTGCAATTTTGGAAACGCGTATTTTAATCGCTGTAGGTTTGTTAGGTGTCCGTTAGA